TATGTATGTAAAATTTAAAATAATATATTTGATCATTTTAATTGCCGAAACGGATTTGCGTTGTAAAGCTTATTAATTTGTAATAAAGTAATAAACAATATAAATTATTAATTTTTTTTGATCTTATGCCCGGCATCTGTGGCCATTAGCTGTTTTGGTTTTGTAAGTTTATAAGTCGGTAGGGGGGGGCACACGTGTGTGTTGGGTTTGGCAGAATTTTTGATTAGGTATCTGCCATGCCCGGGTGGGGGCATGTCCTCAGGACAACGTGACTTACCCGAAGCAAAATGCCGCCCATGACCGAGGTAACGAGCCAGCGCCTGCTGCGTAGCAGCCGACGCCTTAGACCGCTCGGCCACTCCGTCCCCCAATTATTATTATATTGTATGATGTATAATAGGTACATATATATGTTATCTTATACTTAAAGATTCCAATCAGAAGCAATTCTTCGGACTTAAAATTTAATTTCAACTAACCTATATAATTTTTTTATCAAAGATTAGTGCTATAGCATTGAAAAAAAACAATCAAAAAATAGTTGAAATTAACGTTTACCAAAAAATACGTATTAAGACCCGTCACTCGTCAGTGGTATTGTTCAAATTAAAAAGTGCAAAAATTTTAGAAATCGAGCAAAACTATTTATATCAAATAATATAGTAGGGGATACAGTAAAACCTCTCTATAACGCAATCGCTTGGGACCTACAACTTTACTGTTTCCGTTATAGGGAGACTAAAATATAGGTACTGTACATAGGTTATTCGAGAACGTTGTCATTTTCCATTCTAGGGAGATTTCCGTCTTATAGGGTGTCCGTTATAAAGATGTTTAACTATATTATTATTATGTATATTTGGAAATAACATAAACCGGCTACAACACTCATACCCGTTTTCTTCGTTGTCCAGGAGACTTTATGTAATGTTTATTCTATAATTATGTTTGTTTGATTGCGAATTTTTGTCGACGGTATAGTCGGTATTTCTTAGAGATCATATTTTTCGTACAAAATTATATTTATTTTTTTTCGTGCCACTTTATAACAATAATAGTTCAATAATATTATTAATTTGTATATATATTTTTTTTCTATAAGTGATTTAAATTGTTTGAATTAATTTTAGTTTGGAAATAACTACTAGTACGATAAATCACAGTGTGGAAATTAAATGTGGAATGACGAATACGAAGGATATCATATTAACATGAATGTGCTAAAAAAGTGTAATTGTTTTTGAAAATATTTTTTTACATAGTTTCAAGTCGTTTACAATACAACTTTTTTATTAAAAAAATGTATTTGTAAATATTTTTTATTCTTTTAATTGTTTAATTTTTTTAACTACAACATAGGAGTTTTAATTTCATATTCCAAAGCAGAATATTTTTCTAAGTGTTTTGATACATAAAAATCGAATTTAGTGCCAGTAGCTTATGCGTTATAACTTTAAATATTTATATATCATAAACTCATAGTCGACCTAAAGTCGATTTTCCATGCATAATTTTAAATTTATAATAATAAATAAATATCAGTGTTAATTGACAATTTTTAATGTTATATATTATCATATTTTGAACGTTTTTGAATAAATTGTTTTATTAGATTATATTTGGTTAACATTTTAAATCAATATTGATGAATTTTGTATGTGTGAAATAATGAAAACTGATTGTTTACATTTTCCAGTCACCAACGAAAGGGTGACTTATAATTTTGTAGTGAAAATGTCTAATTTTTTTCATGTGGGTCGATGACAAGGGTGTGGGTGATCAGATTGAATTTAGCCATACCTGACTCAGAGGTCTGCTCACGCCTATATGATCACGAATCTATTCATACCATTATCATACGGTACGTCGGTATTGACTTGAGTTGATATAACAGCTATTTAAATTGTAAGATTATTATTATTTAATATTTGTGATTTTTCTGTCATTATTAAATCTCTTCAAACCTAATCTAAAAAAATGCAACGAAAAAAACAAAATATAAACGTATGCATTTCTGTGAGCATGAGCAATGCAGACTGTCGGGTATAACAGTAAAAAATTTGGTGACGATAAGTTGAACGGTATAAATTCGTATGCGTTACAAAAAATCGGCACTTGCTTTATAGATAGTATAGATTAGAGAAACACTTTGTAGGAGTCAAGCCGTTTCAGAGCCAACCCGTCACAAAGATTTCTATTTCGCTTTTATAGTATAGATTATTATTTATTACCTAGGTAATAATAAGTATTTTATTATTATTAATATTTGTTTATTTATTTATTTTTGTGTATAAGCCCAATGACATATCTTTAGCGAAGAATATAAATGACTTAGTCAAAAATTGAAATTATTGCCTTATAGTGTTAGTGGAATCAAAAATATTTATATTTTTATACTTTGTGTGTACAGATCACGTAAGTCAAAACTATAATTCCCTATCAGTGAAATTTGTTATGGTCTAAACATTTTAAGTCGCATTATATTGTAGAAATCGAAGCACTCCTTCTGCTGGAAATTTTGTATACAGGATATAAAAAAAAATAAACACCATTGTAAAACCACTATAGCTTCCTCTCTCCGCTCAGAATCTAAAATAAAAACCCAATTATCTTAGGTCACTTAAAAATAATGAAGAATTTATTTTAAAGTTCTACTTAATAGTTAACATAAAAGTTGGTACATTGAATATTAAATTAAATTAATTATCAGTCCAGATATTATTGTCAACGATTTCGAATGACTTTGCAATATTTTGTTTAATCTTCCTGAAACCTAGTCGTTTTTTACTTAAGGCGCCGGGATGGCATTTTGTCCTCAAAAATACACTCTACGGGAATAACGATGCCTACCGCCTTGTAGAATCAACCAAATTTCATAATGTTTTTTTAGTTGCTAGAGGAAAATAATATTCTACATCCCGCATCGATCTCTGTTTTTCAATATTTTATTCTCAAACTTTATATTGTGTCTAAAAAAATACAAGATAAAAAACATTTTTTACACAAATCTTTTAATACAATTATTTGAAATAAAATACAAAATCATAGATCGATAGGGGGGGTAGGAAGTCTTCTTTCAGATAAAAAAATAGTCAATCAAAATCCGACAATTCTACAAAGCTTGAGAGTTATTCCCGTAAAATCATTTTTTTCGATATAATACACCCTATCAACCCCTCCTAAGTAGGTATCGGGTAGTAGATTAGTGGAAATGTCTTATAATTCAGTTGGAAACTAAAATATAAAATTAAATTTTCAAATTTTATAGAATTATGGACAATTCGAAAAACTGGTACTGGGACCATTAAATCATTTATACCATACGCCAAAGATTTATTCGATATACTTAGATTCGTTTTAAGACAATTGTTCAAGCCATTCTATGGTACGTCGGCACCATCGTGAGTTAGTTGAGTAGATATAACAGCTATTTAAATTGTATGAAATAATTTCATGATTATAATTATTTGGTATTTGTAATTTTTCTAGCATTGGTAAGTCTCTTCAAACCCAATTTAAAACGAAAAACCAAAATTTGTTTAATATAAACGGATACACTCCCGTGAGCATTGGCCATGGCATCGGGTGCGTCCCCGGGTTGCGGATGGGGGAACGTCCTGTAGATATACAGAGTAGCCGCGAAATAAGCCATACCTTCGGGATGGACGAATAAGCGGTCGCGGACAAGCTCGCCACCGGGGAAATGATCGACCCCCGGTGTCCCGGTGGATCATACTGGAAGACAGACAGACGACGCGAGGCTGACGTCGTTGGTGGAGACCAAGCCTACCTGGAGATAAAAATGAAAAAACCAAACAGAGTTACCTCTTAAGAAGTGCAGGAAAACCAGATGATCGATCAGCTAGGTCCCAGGAGCAAAGGTGGTTATGCCAGGTCTCTGCTCCTGGTCAAGAAATTGTCTAGTTTCACGCCCATAGTGGGCAGTACTGCAGGCACTCAAAATATATATCAGAGGTAAAGATAGAGAGGCGGAATATCTAATGATAGTACAAGGATTTTTCTTAAACACGTGCAGCGCACAAGGGCTCGGAGGCTTATACATACATTGGAGGGGCCCACCCTAGAGTTATATGTCTAAACAGCAGGTCCACAAGTTTATAGACATTCTAATACATTCTCCCACCAGTGCCCCTAGACACCGTGTTTGAGAGTTTATATTTTTTTCTACCTAATTAAATACTACCTAAAAATTGAAGGGGAGTGTTGACGCCCGCAGGCAAATGCTTTTTAGAAAACAAAAAAAAAATTTAGAAAAAATTAAACAGTAAGAACACAGATTAATGAGTTCAAACTACAATCTCCAGATCCTTGAACAGAAAAAACAATTCACAATGATTACCTAGCTCGTTCTAGATTGTCAATACAGAGGGCACTTGTATTTTATCAATATTCAAGTCTATACAAAATATTCAACTAAAGTCAAATCCTGGAAAAAAAATTGAAGGGAATTGTCGGCGTCCGCAGTTAAATGCATTTTAGAAAACCAAAAGAAAATTTAGAAAAAATTATACGATATTAAGGCATATTGAAGAGTTCAAACTAAAACGTCCATAAAATAATATTTCTTTGTCTGTCCATTCCATTTATTCGAACATAACCATGGCTTACATACTTACTTCATACTTACTATTTAATTTTTCTAAAAATGTTGTCGTGCACAATTTATTAGGGAAGGTGGACAATCGACCGACAACCATTCGACCGACAGGACTATCGACCGACAATTAAAATATCGACAAGATAATCAACCGACAAGGTCAATCGCCCGACAACCAAAATACCGACAGTAATATTATAAGTACATAGTTATTTAATTTCACTTATTTTAAAAAGATTTTTATAAATATTGTATAATAATAATGATAATAATTCATAATTGTATAGTTAAAAAAATTAAAAAATAATTCGTAATAAAATAAAAAAAAATACTGAAATGACTAAAAAATAATGTATAAATGTATGCGATTGTAGAGTGTACATTACATGGTTAGGTTGTGAGCAATACCTCGAAGATACTCCAGACGTGTTTTACCTTCACGATTGTTAAAAGCAGTCTTCAAGCGCTGTTCACGTTTTTGCTGAAGATTTGTTGGGCGTGGCTTTGGAGCTCCTCGAAGAATAGCTTCGATATCTGCATCAACCTTACTTTGTTCTTTCTGAAGTTCTTTAATCAGCGTAAACAGACCAATATGAGCCCTCCCTATCAATTCATTCCAACGCCGATGCCATGCCTCCGCATGATTAGAAGTCCTAGGAATACCATTGTCTATAAATTTATGATAATATAGAGTATTAGAAAAACTTTATAAATAATTGAAAATTATTAAATACAGTATTATATAGGTACCAATGTTTTCATAAATTGACCATAATGTTGGAGGAAAAAGTGGAGGGTTCCTATGTTCGGTGTTGCGCACTATACGACGGATTTTACCTAATGCATAATTGTCTTCAAACCACTGTACAAAAGTACTTGCATTGTTAGGCATAATTTCTTTAATCTCCTTGAATGCATCAGGAATTTCCTCTTCGGGCAAAAATGCAAGAGACAACATTTGCCGAACTTTGATGCTGAAATTTTCATCATTTCCATACTCAATGGATAGCCCAAAGCCTTGTAACTTTCGCCACGCACTTTGGCATAAATGAAATAAACAACCTTTACTTTTGGACAACGGAAACTCATGTTTGCTCGCGTTGATTGCAGCCATCTTAAAGTCACTTATTATGTATTCAGGTGCTAAGTTAATACTATTGTCTTCAGCAAAATCAATTATATCCTAAAAAAAAATAAAAACTATTAAAATATAATATTGCTATTTGAAAAAAGGAAGCACATTAGTAAATAAAATGTTGTATTTTCGTAATTATCTACCTGATACATCTGACTGTAACATTGCTCTCTTTTGCTTGTCATAAGAACATATACTAGAGGCAAAACTCTAGAATTGTCACCGTAGCCAACTTGTGCGTGAATTGTATATAGTTGTGTAAAAATAGTAGGCACTGTTTTAAAAGTACCATCAACTATCCAAAACATTGATTGACTGAGTTTTTGAATGTTGCTTACAGTAGAAAATACAAGTATCTTATCTTCACCTAAAATCAATAGAAAATAAAACTAAATTTAGATTGCATAATTATTATAAAAATAATTAACACACCTATTATTGATTCTTTAATGAGAAATGGTTGATTAGATAGTGTTTTTTTCAGATCATCAGGTATATTGAGCACATCAATTGAATTTGGTTCTGTATGGTGGTGAGTAATACGTGTACGTTTTATTTTCTTTCGTTGTGCCTCATAACTGGGAAGATACGGTTTTATATTCTCTGGAACGTTGGATTGCGTAGATTGAATAATTTGTGACGGCTTATTTGTTGTAGAACGGGCTGTATCTAAAAATTATTAAGTTAAACTTATATTACTAAAAATAATATAAATAAAAATAATTACATTTATTATTTAGGTACCTTTTAATATAGAATTTGCAATAGAAACTTCAGCTCGACTAGTTTCTGGAGCATGATTATGATCATTGTCAGTCCTTAACTTATGTCTTCCATCAATTAGAATTGTGGACGAACGTCCTTTGCATTTATATAGAACTTTTTTTTCACAATACCAATAAAAGAGATCTTCTCTATTTTTATCTTTAACCATTAAATACCCTTTGACAACTAATTTTTCTCGGCCTTGTTGTGAGAGGACAATTTTACAATATTCCTCCATTTTACCTATTTTAAATAAAATACGCACAGAGACCGCGTTACCTTCTACGGCTCAACTAAATTTGTACAGTCGGAAAAATGTACCGTGTCAATTGAGATTTCGTTGTTGTGCGATAAAATGTTTCGATTAGATAAAAACATTAAACGTATCTGGATGGCTTATCCATTTTATGACCAACTTATTTCTATAACGTTCTAATATCCGATAATTTTGGTTTAACCTACATTAGCCACAATATCATAATTAGTGTCCTCAACTGAACTAAAAAAAAAAAATATTTATAGTATTACAAAATATATTATCATTATTATATCTAAATTGTAATTAAAATAATAAATAAAAACAATTGCAAAATATTTATCTAAAGTACGTACTTTAACAAATATGTAGTGGGACGTACAACAATATTCTTCTGGTTTTCATGATGGTTAAAAATTGTAACACTAGTAGGTGAAAATGGAGGATTGCAATAATTGAGTAGATCCTCAATACTTTCCATATTTTCAAATACAGAATCATCATTAGTACTGTAAAATATACGATTTAATTATTACCAATAGTGTATGTATATTGTATACATATTGAACCAAATAAATGTATGTAAATTAACATGACATAACAAAAAATTAAATAAAACTATTACATAATGTTATTGTTAAATAAGCAACACCACTTACTTTATTAAGATTGATATACTTTTGGTATCAAAATTATTTTCATTTCCAATAAATAAAACATCACTATTACAATTTGATATCTCAACAGGATATGTAGAAATACATTCAACGGATGACTTAGTGATATCTTCATTTTCAAATAAATATTTATAGTCGTAATTTCTAAAAAAATAATAATTAGTTCATTAAAAAAACATGGAAACTAGTCAATTACTAACAAAAAGTCGTATACAATTATGTTACATTAAAATTATTTAATACAAAATTAAAAATTAACTATCAAAAAAATAAACTTAAAATAGTTCAAGTTATTTTTTGATTAAAGGGAGGGGAAGAAATACAAAGCCAGTCAGAGTACTGTAAAGCAGGGGTCTCCAAACTACGGCCCGCAGGCCGGATACGGCCCTTAAACAAGTTTTAACTGGCTCGTGGCCCGCATAGGACACATAGATAAATATAGATAAAAAAATGTTTTCAAAAATGTTATAATATTATATTTATACTTATTTATTTTTATTTAAGTATATTGTAAAGTAAACAATATTTTATACAAAAATATAAAGTAAACATATAATTTATATAGGTAGGTACCTAATATATTATCATAAAATTAAAAATTATATGTGTTAATAAACTTTTGGCCCGCTAAGAGCATTTGATTTTTTTTGTGGCCCTTGAATAAAAAAGTTTGGTGTAAAGCAGTGGTATATGAAATTGTATTACCTTGACGTGATATTTTGAAATATAATGAACTAGAACAGTATTGATTGAAATTTGATGTTTAACCTTAAATCAATTTTATAATTTATTTACCTACAATCAAAGCAATAATTCTATAATACAGACAACTTGAATAACCATCACAAGAAATGGTCCCAATACATGAAAAAATAAAGATATAATGGGTGCAGATATAACTGCATCCTTCACCCAAGTGAATATATGACAACATTGTACTATATAAGATAATATGATAAAAAAACGGTTTACTTACTTCATATAAAATCTGTCGTACATATATTATCAGAATTATTCTGAACACCTTTATTTAGTATAATAACATTTTCATCACTTATACCACTGCTAGAAATCTCGTTCTTTTGCTCTTCATCATGTTGTACCTCAAAAAAACTACAAAAAAATAAAATTAATTAATAAAATACTATAATAAGTAAACAATTATAATCATATTATGAAATATAGCTTATGGTACCCACCTTTGTAACCAAGAAAGTGTGTCTGGATGGTATACTAACTTGTGTTTATTTACATGATGCAATCATTGTCTTACTTTAGAGTTTGACTCTATTCAGTCAGGCTGCATGCCATAGGGACGTAATGGCAAAGAAGATGAATCCTTTGGTAAATTACTTGTACTGCTTTTAACAGTATCTAATGTATTATATTTTTTAGATAAATTGATCAACTTCGCTGACTGGTTTCTTCTATGCCGGGCCTCCATACCAATTAACCAAAAAAATAGTCCTTAAACAACAATAAAACGAACGACGTAACATTAAGCAATGATATATTGACTTGGATATATTAGATTAATAGAAATATGTATCAATATTAAATATAATCATTACATACTTGACTAAGACTGTGGAAGGTGGAAGTATTCTTTGAAATATATTTTTAATTACATACTGTCTAAATTACTGAAGTAATAACCAGTAACCACGCTATTACGCTTATAAGTAATATCTAAAGTAATAAGTAGGTAATATCACATTATCACATCAACAAAACATTAAAACAAAATAATATTCAAATTTATTACGTCTATAAATACCGTGATTATCACTAAGATAGTAATAATTGTTATCAAATGAATAACAACAAAATAATATAATTTTATTGTTCGCCGACTTTAATTGAATCATTTGAATCATTCGATTAGGTATTTCAGTATTTGATATTTGTACGGAAATAGTAAATACAGACTACTACTATACATTCGTACAGTATTGTATTCATACGTTTTAGTAAAAAGTTGCCATGCATAAGTGTATTGTTTTTAGTAAAACATCCAAAGTATCGCCTCGCCACATTACCTTAATTTTCATTTGTAAGTATTATTTTCTAGTTGTACTGATTATATTTCTTAATAATATGGTGCCAGTCTAATTTGTTCACAAATATAGATTCACAAAAAATGAAAATAGAAGGAAATAAAATTTCAAATTAAATTATTACCCAATTTATATCTGGAGCAGAATCTGCGGTACTCATTTCACAACCAGTAATTATAAACAAGGCTCAGTATATAGTAGATATTATTATGGCCAGAGGCCGTCACAAAATATAATCCAAACTGCATGCCTGTTTAAAGGAGTAAAATAAACAATATAAAATAAATTTTAACAATTTACAGCAACACTGGTACCACTCTGAGCACGACTAGTAAATCATCTAAGAGGTAAAATCTTTTAATAATGAATTATTTTAATATTAATTAGGCAGGTAATTAGGAGGTATTCAGATATTTTTTACAACTTTATATTTTCAGAAAATTATATTTCTCCAACGATGAGTTTGAAGAAAACGAACAGACAAATAAAGGATTTGGAGACGTTACAGTTTATGATTTTAATTCACTCAAAAAAGCCTTAGAAACTTAATAATGTCTAATTCACACACACACTTATATAAGTATATTACTCAAGTTCTTATTTTAAATGTTTGCCAAAGCCAAAAGTTACTTAGTGATTTATCATTTTTAGTTCATACAGTGGATTATACTTATTATGGTTTTCAAAACTGAAATATATGATGTACCACATACAAGGAACTATTAAATCGAGCCAATGTGTTGACAATTTTTATACGTTGACTTTCTTGAAGATAATTATATACATACCATATTGGAGAGAGTTATGAAACTTAAAGGTGAGAATATTGTTATTAGGTTTTTATTTTAAAGCTATTTTACTGTACTATTTCACTAACTAACATACCCACGGGACACATTGTATAATATCTAATTGTGTGCGTGGACATAAATTTGTATACCGAAAGGGCTCAGCCCGTTAAGTCAAAATAAATTAATAAATAAATAATTATATCTTACAATATTAAAATATCCTTTACTTGTTTTAAAAATAAAATACAAATAAATGCTTAGTGCTTCTCTATAAGGTACCTTGAAAAACATATTTGCTTTTAAGTTTGATTATAATATTATGTCATATAACTCTAATATTAAAGCTAACAGTACAAAACTGGATCTACTGTACTCACACTTGTATGTTGCTCGTTATTCAAAGAGAGAAACAAATGGTTCACTGACATATTTTTAACATAGTTTTAATTTTTTAGGCAATACAATTTTGCTGAGAAACAATCCAATTTCCATAACACAAAAGGTCTCAACATATTTAAATTGCAAAGAAACACATAACTAGTTTAGACTTCAGTATATTTTCTAAAAGGAAAATTAATCTAGTTGGATGACAGGTAAAAATTTAAAATTCCCAGGTGCTTTCAAATACATCAGGAAAAGCAGTTTTTTTGCATTTTCTGTACACCATACAATTTTTAAAACAATTTAACTCGTTTTTAGCTAACTATTAGGGATAAGACATTTTGGTGGAATTACATTGAAATTATTAGTTTTTTTATTATCTGTAATTTTAACAAATCCCATACCTAATTGATAAAAATTATGATAATATACGGTGTTGTGAACCCCTGTCTGTATGCTATACGCAGTATGAGATATAGTAATAGTATAATATAGAATAATGTGCAAGCATATTAATATGTGAACAGACAGAGTCACACGGTCTAAAGGAATTCGCTGTGTGGACAGTTTTGAGCCCGAACGAGCCCCTACCGTGTCTCGCTGTCTGTGTAAGAATCAGTGTAGAACTGGCAGACCATCGAGCAGAACCTCTGTTAAATTACTTAAGTCTAATGAGTGTAGAACTGGTAGACCATCGGGCAGAACCTCTGTTAATTACTTAAGTCTAATAAGTATTCTGTACAACTAAATTTCTTTTAAAATTGATTATATTAATAAAGTATTAGTGATAACTCATACACCACGTATTTCTTTATTAACGAACAAACTCGGTTGTGGAGACGTCCATAACATTTTTGGTGGCAGCGGTGGGATCCGTAGATTCCAGTTCGTTAAACAATAAGTTAGTAAATTTCGTGTGATTTTGAGTTAAAGTAAATCTATGCTTTTAATATAATTAAATACAAGAAGAAAATCCAAAGAAGAAAATCCGAAGTGTCCAGAAAATCCAAAACATCGAAGTATACAGAAACTCCAGTGTTCAAGACAAGGACGGAACACGCAGTAGCGCCGCCCGAACGAATGGTTAGTAGCGCACGCACGCACGCGAACGCGAATCCGAAATACGAGCATCATCGCCGCCGCGTCCGTTGTCCGTGGTACCGCTGAAACCGAACGTAAATTTATTGCAGCGCACACACGCACGCAACCGATTCATAATACACGCGCCGCCGTGTCGATAGTGCCGCCGAACCGGACGACACTCACTTACGCACGCGCACGCATTCGCCGTGTGTACGAAACCGAACGTCTGTGCCGCCGCCGCGCATATATATATTATACTATATATAATATATATACGGAGGAATATAGGCACCGTAACGTCGTGTTTGTAAACAAATACTGCCGCCTAGTGGTATCAAGCAGTGTTCGCCGCCGCCGTCGTATTACGTATATATATATCGTATTATCATATACGCTAATATTACGCGCGTTCTCCGTTTTCGTCAATATTTCGCACGGGCCGTCGCTATAGTAGTATATATTATTTATATAAATATACTACACGAGTGCGCCGTGTTCATAGACGCGTCACGCGTGAAATAAAATTATACTGTATTAGTATTATCATAGAAACCCACTACAGGCTGTAGTGGTCCCCGCGCCAGCAGTTTCGGGGCTAGCGAACTTCGATTCCACAAGCGCAGTCGAAGAGGAAAGTCGTCGTTAACAGCCAAGGAATTCGATTCAAGCCAAGCAGAACATCAGTGCAGACCATCCCGAGCATCCCGACCATCCCGAGCATCCCGAGCATCCAGACCATCCCGAGCATCCCGTAGAAGTGTTAAAAATTCAGTAAATATAAAAAAAAAAACATGGCAAGGATCATTGTAACTGCGATACTGTGAGTAAAAAAAAAAATAAATTGATAATAAAAAAAAAAAAACTGTAACCAAATCTTGATAAATCATCAGTACTACACTCCGTACTAATTGATAAGTACGTTTTTTATCTTATCTATTTTTTTTTTTATCTTATTATTATTATTTCTTTCTGTATGATTCAGAATCGTAAATCTGTAGTATAGTATTAATATAATATTAATATTGTAGTTAGCATTTATGTATAATTGCATGTAAACACACACACTTTTATATATAAAATTAGCAATTCGTTAAGTATCAGTCAAGTAGCTAAGTAGTTAATGAGCGGAATAGGGAAAAACGATTCGGACCCAAATTCAGATAACGAATCAAATAATCCAACATTACCACCAAGTCCTACCCCTCGTGTAAGTTTACCAATACGATTCTCAAATCCAGAAAATCCGACATCCGAACGTTCTATTGGGAATATCAGTACTGATAACATCTTCATCAGAACTGGCGTACTAATAGATCATAATTCAGAGTTAATACATAACGTCTCCGTAACTTTGGGGGAAGTAGATACCGTTTTGGTGGAAACAGAAAATCAACTCAATCTTAATATCCTAGACCAATCAATTGAAGGAAATCTTTTAAATCAGAATATACCCTCCCCTCCTCTTAACCCTAGTGACCAAACCATGAATCCAGGTACTCAGGAAACAGCGCAAACACAGGGTGTTACCGGTAATAACCAACAAAGCCTCATGGTAAATTCTGAAGGACCATCAAAGGCAGACACTCAAGAGATATCAAATCCTCAAGTAATTGAAGAAAATCCAGATCAATCCGGTGTACGATATTCATTCGGATCAAGAGGAGATACAATAGGACTGGAGGCCGCTCTAAAACTCTTGCCAGGCTCGTTCAATGGAGACAAGCAGGAGGAATTGGAGATATTCTTGGAAAAATGCGAGTTTGCGTTAGCATGCGCACATGACCATGTACAGGCTCGACTTCTCCAAGGCATCCAAGTTAGACTGACAGGGAAAGCCCGTCAGGCAGTCAAGTTTAAGGAAATACGACATTGGACTGAACTAAAGGAAGCGTTGAAATCTGCATTGGAACCGCAGAGGACGACCACTTATCTATTCTCAGAATTGTATTCAACAAGGCAGAAAATCGGAGAAGATGTAACTAACTACGCAAATAGGATTGAGCAACTCCAAACACTTATCGTAGAGCAAGAGACCAGTGGGCACAGTTGGGAGGTAGCTCAAGCACTAGGAGCAAGTATCAAGAAGCAAAGCATCCAAGTATTCGTGGAGGGACTAGGACCTCTAAAAGACTTTATCAAGGCCAGGAATCCGCTAACGTTAGACAAGGCCATACAAGCAGCAAGGGAAGAAGAACGGGTCAGAAACTCACAAGAAGCGACAAAGAAGCTATATGGAGCGCCGCACCAATCCACAAAGAAACCTACTTGTTTTCACTGTAATAAAGTTGGTCATATGGCAAAGGATTGCAGGAGCAAACCGACAACGACAAACTCAAGACCTTCTTCCACAACGGCACCAATTAGAAGCATCGAATGCAACTATTGTAAAAAGCCAGGACACCTGCTGAAAGATTGCCGAAAAAGGAATTACGTAAACTCCAAAAAGGAAGGCAACCAGCAGGAAAACCACCAGCAACCGGCCGCCAACGGTGGGCGCCCGGTGAGCGAGTTAAAAAACACCGGCAACGACAAATCCTCTACTTCAAAGCAGAATTAGATCGAGATCATTTAACCTGCCACATTGAACAGACCATCAGCAAAAAATCGAAGCTACTCTTAGACTCTGGGAGTGAGCTTAATCTAATAAAAATATCTTCTCTCGCGGATCAGACAATCGTGTATGAAGACGTCATATATCACCTGAAGGGCATTAATGACCAGATAGTACACACACTGGGACAAACACAACTGGAACTATATATCGAAGACAAAATTATCGTTGCAATGTTCCAAGTAATCCATTCTACATTCCCGATCCCAAACGATGGTATCCTTGGACGACCATTTATGGTGGAAAACAAAATTATTCTGAATTATCAGACTAATGAAGTAATCATTCCTGACGGGGCTGAAATAGTGCTACAACCCCGCACTGAAACCCTCGTAGGAATAGAAGCAGAGAATCGAGCAGAAGACGAAATCATCATCATCGAATGTCAAGAAATCACAAAATCAGTCATGTGTAGTAACGTTGTAACCAAAGTACAAAACAAAAGGGTGTTAGCCACACTCATCAACCCTACTGAAGAAGCGATAAAGCTAAAGACGCCCAATTTAAAGGAACTGGTCCACGAGCAGTTCAGGGAAGCTCTGATCCATTCGGTACAAGTCACGGATCGACAAGAAGAATCTCATGCAAGCAGTAGTCGACTGAAACGATTGGAAGAAGCACTTAGAACCGATCATCTGAATTCTGAAGAAAAGGAATCATTAGTGGCCATCTGTCAAGACTACTCGGACATATTCTTTTTAGAAGGAGATCGAGTGTCGGCAACTACAGCGGTCACACACAGGATCAAAACCTCAGAAGCGGTATCACCAATTCACGTGAAACCCTACCGTTTACCACAAAGGCATAGACAAGAAATTACGGACCAAATGGAAGCCCTCGAACGGGAAGGTGTGATTACAGCTAGTGAATCACCTTGGAACGCTCCACTCCTAGTAGTCCCGAAGAAACCTGACGTCAATGGCCAGGTTAAATACCGTGTCTGCGTGGATTTCCGCCGACTGAATGAGGTCACGATAGGGGATGCTTTCCCACTTCCAAATATCGTGGATATTTTAGATCAATTAGGGAGGTCAAAATATTACAGTACCTTGGATTTAGCCCATGGCTACCACCAAATTCCGATGAATCCGTCCGACCGTAGCAAAACGGCGTTCTCTACAGACCGGGGACATTTCGAATTTGAACGAATGCCGTTTGGTTTGAAGGGAGCTCCAGGGACTTTCCAGAGGCTCATGAATAAAGTTTTAATCGGTATAAATGGAATCAAAGCATTCGTATATCTAGATGATATCATCATCTATGCAAAAGATCTAAATGATCATTCACAGAAAATCACAGAGATTTTTCAGAGACTCCGGCAATACAATCTCAAACTTCAACCACTAAAGTGCGAATTTCTCCGAAAAGAAGTTAATTATCTCGGACATCAAATCACTGACGAAGGAGTCAAGCCAGATCCTCAGAAGATAAGTTGTGTGAAACAATTTCCAATTCCAAGAAATGTGAAAGAGGTCAAGTCTTTTTTAGGACTATCAGGTTACTACAGAAGATTCATCAGAAACTATGGGCAGATCGCAAAGCCACTGACCTCATTGTTAAAAAAGGACGTTCCCTATAGATGGAGCGATTTATGTCAGACATCGTTTGAAACATTGAAGAACCTCCTCACTCAAGCTCCGATTCTACAATACCCAGATTTCCATAAGCCATTTAATCTAACGTGTGATGCAAGCAATTACGCCATAGGCTGTATACTGTCTCAAGGACCTATTGGAAAGGACTTACCAATAGCTTTCACATCACGGACACTAAACAAGGCTGAAATCAACTACAACACTACGGAAAAAGAACTAACTAGTATTGTATGGGGAATAAAAGTATTTAGGCCGTACCTATTTGGACAACATTTCAACATAATAACGGACCATCGTGCACTGGTTTGGTTATTCAACATTACAGATCCCGGATCACGTTTAACTCGATGGCGTTTGAAGCTGGAAGAGTACCAGTACACTATTCATTTCAAACCAGGAGTGAATAATACAAATGCCGACGCATTGAGTCGTATTCAAGTGGTAACTACGAGAGCTCAAACCTCATCGAGTCATCATAATCAGTCAAAACCTCCAGAAACTCAAGGAACCTCTTTACAATCAGTAGATAACGAACACCCAGACTCAGAATCGAAGAGCGAAGGTGATACTGGTTATCAAGCATTTCTGAAAGCAGACGAAACTAAACTGGGTCCTACGAAGAACATTGCCGAGCGAACAGGAGATCTGTTTTCCTTGGATGATGGAATCTCATTAGCTCATTGTGTATCAGCAGATTTTAAATCGAGGAAAGGAATTGCATTCGAATTCCGAAACCGATTTGGAAAAATTACTGAACTTCGTCGACAAAAATGCCAAATAACAGAGATTGCAACAATCAATGTGAACAATCATCAGGTGTTTTATATAATCACAAAAGAATTTTTCTGGCAAAAAGCAAGCTATGAAATTCTATTTCAATGTCTTCAGAACCTCAAGTCAATCTGTGTCAAATATAAAGTTACACAGCTCGCTTGTCCACGTCTAGGCTGCGACCTAGATGGACTGAAGTGGGAAGTCGTACGCAATATATTAAGGTATATCTTCCGTGACTCTCCTGTGTATATTCAGATATACACTCGCGATGAGTTAACGGCAGATAACAAACTACAGATCATCAAGGAATTTCATGAAAATCCACTCGGTGGACATCAAGGTGTAACGCGTACATACAACAAAATTGCACAACAGTACCAATGGCAGGGCATGAGAGCACAAATCCGGAAATACATAAAGAAATGTCCTGTATGTCAAATCAACAAAACTCCAAACCGGACCATCAAGGAACCTATGGTGATAACAACTACTGCTTCGAAACCATTCGAAAAAGTATTCATGGACATCGTAGGGCCGCTCAATAAATCTTACCACGGAAATTCATATATTTTAACTTTGATCGACGACTTTTCAAAGTTCACATGGGCATGTGCCATGAAGGATCATGAAGCAAACACCGTCGCACAACATTTTGTTACTCAATTTGTATGTCTGCATGGGCAACCTGAATCTCTAGTGACGGACTGTGGAACTGAATTCCTTAGTAAGGTTTTCAAAGAAGTATGCAAACTCTTAAATATCTCTCAAACATCAACTACTCCGTATCATCCTCAGAGTAATGGTAGTCTAGAGAGAAGTCATAGAACCCTTGGTGAATATTTGCGGAACTACTCTGGAAAAAACCCTCAAAACTGGGATGTACATGTTCCTTATGCAATGTACTGTCATAATTCTTCAGTACACACCTCCACAGGGTTTCAACCACATGAAATCGTATACGGATATCCGTTATCAATACCAAATTCATTAAGTCGCAAGCCAGAACCTCAATATAACTATCAAGACTACCAGTACGAAATGAAACGTCTTATGCAAGAAACGCATCAGATGGTAACAGAGCAACAGATGAAATCAAAACAGAAATCGCAGGAGCGATATGATCGTACAGCTGTGCCTTTGCAAATCAACGAAGGTGATAAAGTCATAGTGGAAGAAAAAACAAGTAAAGGAAAATTAGCACCTAAGTGGTTAGGGCCATTCACAGTGGTGGAAACTAATACAGACTCTCCGAATGTGACCATATTAAAAAAAAATAAACATGTAAAATTGCACAAAAATCTCTTGAAGAAATTTCATGAATGAAATCTAAATTGTGTTTCAGAACCTCACTGATATGTTGTGAACTTTCAAACTCTCAGAGCGGACGTTTTCAAGTTACTTCATTCCAAAACTCATCAGGCTTATACTTTGAAGCAATGGGACCTCTTCGCATATCTTACACAAATTGGGATTTCGTCACTTATGTGAATCTGACAACTTATTACATGAAGTACCAAATACTCCAGAAATTCCATGATCAGACGGGCGACGTTTGTATTCAACTGAAAAAAAGAGAGGACTCGATCTTAACTAGCGCGTGTACGGATTTCATACAATCCACGTTTCCGTTCATGCAAGAAATTGAATCAAATTTCAATTCTGTCATACGAATCCTCGGGTCAAACCACAGAACCTCTGAACATATGAATCGACAACCTCGCGGGTTGATAAATGCAGTAGGAAGGCTAGCAAACATTCTTTTTGGAATTTGCTCTGATCAGGATGCAGAATTCTTTTACAAAAACATCGAAGACCTAGCTCGTTCCGAGGATAATCATGTTCATCTATCACAGGAACAAATACGCATAGTCTCTTCAGTCATGAATAATGTTAATTCTACCATGCATGAACTACTAGCAGATGATCAGAAATTGCAGGAGAATATAAACAAAATAGAAGAACAATCCAGGCGTTCTGAAGCAACAATCAATGTATTGGAAATACAAAACACCTTCCTGGAGCACACTGCAATATTGACAGTTTTTCTAAACCAATTCGCTTGGGAAACTCAAAACCTCCAATCCATTGTTAACTCAGCATTAAATGGATTGATGCATACAAATGTCTACCCCCCATCTCAATTGATTCACGAACTTAAGCAAATACAACTGACATTACCGTCTACACTAGAGCTACCTATAACTGAATCTCATTTATCTATTCCTGAATTATTCCGAACATCCAAGTTAAGCGTAGTGTACATCCAACAGAATCTCGTATTTGTGACCCGTATACCCTTATTGTCAAACCTTCGGTTTAACCTGTTTCATAATATTCCACTTCCGATACCTACAAATAAAGGCAATATAGTAATCATTGAACCACAAGCTCAGTACTTGGCAATAAGCGATACTAACGAATATCATTTCAGTCTAACCGACGATCAGTATGAAAAATGTGAAACATTGTTCTCTTTTAGGTTATGTGTAAATCCTGAGGCTATCAGTAAATTTATACATCAGGAAAATTGTGAGGTATCTTTGTACAATTCCCCATATCAAACGATAGGAGCGTGTAATTCCAAATATCTGACACTAAATACTACAATCTGGCATAAGCTTTATCTGCAAAACGCGTGGTTATATTATTGCAGTTCGCAGGCAGTGACAGTAACATGCGCACAAAACTCTAGCAGAATCCTACTCACAGGTACAGGAAAAATTCAAATTTCCGATAATTGCGTCATATATACAGAAAATCTGATCTTAACACCATCGAGAACCCTATCATCAGAAATTTATAGAGATTTCGTTCCAGAAAATCCGAATCTACACGCATTATTAAAAATACCGGAAATAATTAACAGTCATGTTCCCGAGCAAATTGATACTAATAAATATTTCAAAAATTTTAATCAGTTAGCTGAAGATGCTGAAAAACTGAAAGAATTATCTAAATTGTACAACGATACCAAAATATTTGTAAATCCAGACCATCATTTTATTATAGTTTATATTATTGTCATTCTAATAATAGCTGTAAGTCTGTACTTGTTGATTAAATATAAGTGTAATCTACCCCGACTCTACAGACCGGAAGTAGCAGAGTGTGTGCAACTCACACACTCCCATACTAATTCTAAAAGCCTCAGAGCATCGGAACTCACGGATGAGGTGAAACATGGTGATCATTAGACCCCCATGTTTCATGTAGTCCGGGGGGTGTTGTGAACCCCTGTCTGTATGCTATACGCAGTATGAGATATAGTAATAGTATAATATAGAATAGTGTGTAAGCATATTAATATGTGAACAGACAGAGTCACACGGTCTAAAGGAATTCGCTGTGTGGACAGTTTTGAGCCCGAACGAGCCCCTACCGTGTCTCGCTGTCTGTGTAAGAATCAGTGTAGAACTGGCAGACCATCGAGCAGAACCTCTGTTAAATTACTTAAGTCTAATGAGTGTAGAACTGGCAGAGCATCGGGCAGAACCTCTGTTAATTACTTAAGTCTAATAAGTATTCTGTACAACTAAATTTCTTTTAAAATTGATTATATTAATAAAGTATTAGTGATAACTCATACACCACGTATTTCTTTATTAACGAACAAACTCGGTTGTGGAGACGTCCATAACAACGGTTATCGACTACATTTTTAATTCTAAATAAACAAAAAGTTATTTTAGAACTCGTCACTATTGATCTGATTGTTATGACAATTGGATCTGCATTTTGAGACATTGCAAGTAAGTGGCAAGTTGATACAAAATAAAGTTCTATTGAACTATATGTGAACATCTAAAATTTCATATAGGTGCAAACTAATAATTTGTACACCCTAATTATTGGCATAGGTTAATATGAATTGTTTATTTTCACAGTAAGTTGAGAAATATCTACTAGAGAATACAAATATATTAATGATTTATTCTTCAAGGTACATGATTATAATATTAAGTAAATAGAAAAAATGAATTGAAAACTAACACTTTTGAGAATTTGATTTTCTTTAAGACAATTCTACAGGCCAAGTATACATTATAAATATTGCAATTATTCAAGTAATTTATAAAAACATTAATAATTAATATTAACCTGAATACTAAAACTTAAAGGTAAGAATATTATTGTGTTCACCTCATGGGATTTTATTGATTTATTAATTTAATAGTGAGTTATCTGTATGGTGCTATGACTACATTATATTGTCTGATATCATTATGTTAAATAGTTATGTTATAATATATATAATTGTGTGTGTAGAATTATATTTGTGTCCAAAGGGCTCAGCCAGTTAGCTCAAAATAAATAATAAATAACTATGTTAAATTAATTATATTAGGTACTTAAAATACCCATAACTTGCTTTAAAAATAAAATATAAAGAAATATACCTTTAGAAAATATTTTTACTTTATGTTTATTAAAGCTAACTTTACAAAATTGGATCTGCTCTTCACAAATTTGTTATGTTACTCATAGGTCAGAGAGAAAACAAATAGTTCACCGACATATTTTTAACAAACTTTTAATTTATAGGTAATATATTGCAGAACCAGTATCCAATTTTAATAGTACGGAGCATCTGAACATATTTAAATTTCAAAGGACACATAACAAGTTTGGAAATTCAGTGTTCTGACATTTGGATGTGATTCATTTTGGGACATTGCTGGTAACTTTATGACACAAAATACTAAATAAAATTCTATTGAAGTGTGCAATTATGTGAAAATTGTAAACATAATATTTAATTCAGGAACAAAAGTTGTATACCTTAATACTAAATTTGTATTTACAATATAATCATAGTCGTACTAAGGGGGGGGGGGGCAAAGTGGACGAGTGCTCCGGGGCACCCATCAATTAAGGGAGCATCATAAAAAAAAAAATGATAAAAAGAAAAATTTGAGATAATAATTTTCAATTTTATACTGTAATACCGAATAAGAGTATCTATCACATTGTTTATATTATTATACTATTAAATATCAAGTAATAAATTATGTAAACAATGAATTACATATACTAAGTATGTTTATACTTACATGCCTATAATAATGTATAAATATCAATATTAACAAAGGATAGAATATTATTGATACATTATTAATGATGATATAATATGATTACAAATTATAACTTTGTAGGTACTATACCCATAGATTGTAAGTAGGTACCATAACAACCTACCATAGATTTGATTTTATATTACGACAACATTTTCTTATGTTTATAAATATTAAATAGATTAAAAAAATTCCAAAATATTTTGAACATTTTAATGTATTTAAGTTTATTTTGTAGAGTTACACTAAAGCACAAAATTGATTTTTTCTAAAAATTGTTTTGCATAAAAATCTTAGTTTTTCCTTAATTGTTGGTTTATTTTTCTTGATGTTTTTGAAAAGTTCTGGGAATTTTTTACTTTTGACCCTCCAAAGTACTAACTAGATTCTTTTTAATGTTGAAGTAGAAAAGCTGTTAGGCATTTTCACTGCACCAAAATATGATGACACAAAAATAAAATAAAATATTTCATCATTGTAAAATCAACACAATCATCGCTCCAATCAGAATCTAAAATAGATACCTAAAATACCTACTTAATACTTATATTTCTTCTTTAACTGATACTGTAAGTACATCATGCATAAATTATTTATTGTACCTAAAAATTAAAATCTTTGTCAATAAATTGCCTCTGAATTATATATGTGAACTTGAACTGATATTATTATTTAAGCCTAATACCAAGAACCCAACATCTGTTACAAGTTGTATTTTAATAAACATTTAATAGCTTATTATAACATCTATTTATTAAAAATCACATCCCAAAGTTTCATCCAGTATCGTTAAAGTCTATAGATCAGAAATTACCTCAACTTGGCACATAATACATTATACAAACTACACACATATGTTTACTATGTTAGTTAAATAACTGTTTACCCTCCAAAGCGGTATCATAATAAATAAATAACGCTTAATTTGCAATACCTATGTTACAGTTACTTAAAAATAATGTGAGGAGAAGTACTGGCACCATAGTTCCTCCTCCAGTCCTCGATACCACAATAAAAAAAAAAAAAAAAAAGTTACTTAAAAATATATGTTTACAAGAATTACAATTAAATGTATTTTTTTGTTTCTTATAGTCAGCAAAAGAGGGTTTTCAAGTTCCAGATAAACTAGGATATCAATGTATAACGTGGACTACTCAATTATGTTTTCTTCCGTTCATACATATATTTCGTCATTACCAGTTTCAGATAGATGAAATTACACAACTGAATAATGATTAATTTTAATAATAATTTTATCATTTTTGAAATTAATTATGATTGCGAGGAATGAAACATTAAATTATTGTTAATATTGTAAGAATCAAACTATTGTTTATAAAAATACTATAAATTTAAATTAAGTTAATTTGTACCTTTGTAGTTTATAATAAATGTATTTTCTATCTAATTATTGTAATAAATATAATTACATAAGAATTTATATTTAACTTAAAATATGATTAATACAACAAATAACTAAATTACTAATTGGTACAATTTGAATATTTCAATTCAAAATTGTTCAAAGAACTTTTATATTTTTAACTTTTTATTTTAAATATACAGTGTATGGTACAGACATACAGTGTAAAATATACATAATTATAATATTTAATATATAGATTTACAATAAATAGTTTAAATTTAAATATAATAATAATAATAATAATAATAATGACACAGTTTAATATTTAAACCATAATGGCCTATATTAATGATGTTCCACAAATTCTGAAATTTTTTAAAATTGTATTCATTACTTTTATAATGTTTAGTGACTAATATGTATGTAAACTGTTTTGTGGTATATATGTATTGTTTAATATATTATACAATATTAAAACTTATATAAATACTGTTTTATATTACGGCTGTGGTACGCAAAATTCTTATAAAATATTAAGTGTTGTATACATTATTATTTATTATATATACCAAAATATTATTACTTTTTTGAGATGTTGATCATGAATATTGTAAAAACATAAGTTACACTTAAGTAAACATGGTGTGTGAAGAAAATTATTATTGAATTAACCAATAGTGCTAAACAGTTTACTAATTAACATAATATAGTCATAGTTGTCTATCATAAAGTACTGTTTAGACTTATACTATATATTAGTAATATAAAACATTATATTATTATATATTCATCAATAGAGATTGACTACCTGTTTTACATAATTAAACATATCATAAATTATTATATTTGTATAAAGGTATATCAATTATATTAATTGTTTAATTAAATTAAATTAGTTATTACTTATTATGTTAGAAATATAAATGTTAACAATATCGAAATTTACGCAATCGATAACTTAATAAACATATTAAGTTATCGATTGCGTACAATACACAATACTTTGGTACAATATAAAACTCAATAAAGTTTAAAAAAAATTTCTAATTTTATCTATACGATTATACCAAATAAATATATATCATAATATGTACTTAGAACAAAATGAATCTGATTGGGTTCAGTCATTATTGTTAATTGTATGTGTATATTTAATATTTATTATATTGGTATGATAGGTAGTAATTTGTTTTGTATTTCACAATATAACTTTATATTTATACGAGATAAATATTTCTATTTTAATGACATTGAACATAAACAAAAACGTATGATGATTTATTTCCATATTAATTATTCAAATAATGAATCGTTATATGTACCTAAGATTGTTTATTTAAGTTGAATAAGTTGACATGTATGGCGTAATTACGAGAACAAAATCAAGATCTACAAACTCAATTAATTAGAGAATCTGCATAAAAAGATGAAGTTTGGTCATCAATACCAGAAATACTTGACTTTAAGGTTAACAATAAACTTTCCAGGCCACTCGTGCATCCAAGAAGTGGATAATGCATATCCACAGATTACGAAACATATAAAAAAAATAGATATTTGGTCACCATTGTCATTTGTTAGATCTTTACTAAAAGTTAATTCAAAAAAACCTTTTATTGTCTTACAGATGTCTCTAAATAAGTTTAAAGACCTATAATAAGGTGTCAAAACTATATAACTTTAGCCAAATGCCATTTTTTAAAATTTGTCTACCATAATCATATACTAAAATGTAATACAAATGTATGTTGATGCTTTGGCCGATGCTTTATACACAATTTTAGCCGTTCACACAAATGCATTTTTTTTTTAAGTTCAAAACATTTACTAGTAACTGAATGTAAAAAATATGAACAAGTACTTAATTTTAAAGGATTATTATTTTTTTTTTTTAAATACATTTTAAAAATTAGAATAGAAAAAGTTGTATTCGAATTATGCCTGAATTTATAAATCAAAACTATTCAGCTAACAATAATACAAATAACAGTTAAGAATGAAAAAGTTCTAATTGATGAATATATTTCTTTTTATTTTAGGTTGAAAAGTTCCTAATTGTAGAACCAATTTATAATATGTATTTTATTAATTTTAATACCAACGAATACAGCAAATTATTATTATAATGATGTGAATTAAACTATACAAGTTGCTACATGCCTTAGAACTTTAATTTAAACAAAATGATTTCAAGGAATAAGATATTTTAACTCAAACCTTAAAATTGCTCTCCTGGACAATTTCATAAAAACGATTTAGAACCTTTTCATTCTAGACAATCTAGACCCATGAAGCTAAAACGAATTAAGAAAGATATTGCAAAAATAAATTGCCGAAAATCATTAGTTTTTAATTGAAAATGATAGGGAAGTCTATTTTAAAGTTATAGCTAATTGAAATTTTTGGTTATCTCATATATACCTACCCGGCGTATTCACTTGCACGCTGTGCTCGCTCGGACAATTATAATTAAAAACATCCCTCGACTTGTTATGTAAAACTTTTAACTTGTTATGAATTATTTTTGCACCATCATTATGAAGATGTTGATTTAACTAGGTTAAAAAAATTGTTATTTGTTATACCTACTTGAGCTCGGTAAACTTTAAGTGTTGTACGGGTGCGTAAAACACCGAAAATCGTGAACTTCGTAAGGCTATGCGATAACAACTAATGATTTCCGTGAATTAATTTTTGCATCATAAATCTTATAACTGGTTGCAAATCATAGGTCTCTAAAAAAAAAAATTTATAAATTTGCTTGGGTGCTAAATTATATGGTTTAGACACTAAATTAAAAAAATATTCTAGGGTTTTAAGAAATTGTCTTCAAATTATCACTTTTAATTATTTTATATAGCGTGATATTATTGGTAGGGTAAGTTAAATACATGAAGTTACATAAGTTTTTCCACCTGTATCAAAAAAAGTAAAAAATATTTATACTTGAATTTTCAAACCATTTTGACTCTTTTTGAGCTATTTATAGTCATTAGACAATTATTTTGTAAATTATTTATCAGTTTAAAATTCATAAAGTTCCTTGTCCCAACCACTTTTTTTTTATAAATTTGAACGAGATGAAGATAACTGTTTCTTCGGTGGCGTCACGTAGGTACTCGACGTTTGCATTGTTGATGATGCACTCTAGCTAGGTTTCACCGGGAGAGTCGATGTTTCAGCGTAAGTTTGTTTTCATAATTTCATATTATTTTGGGATTTACGTTTTCTTTTTAGGCATTTTAATAATTAAAAACATAATATAACGTAATGTTGTAGTAGAAGCTGGAAACTGTAGTACCTACCTATATTCTAATTTATAATCCAATTAATGTAATTCTTTGAATTTTTAAAATTTTAAATTCCAAAATTTCAATATGCAAAGCAGATATGAGCAAAAAACTTACTGAGTTCCGTATAATTTTATTTTTTATAAATCACAATATTTTTAGTTCTGTATATTATGGATATTTTCCTCGTCAGCCTCGCAGTGAACACACGTCACGGATTCCGCCGAAAGAATCGATGTTTAAAGTAAATTTGTTTTCATATTATTTTGGGGCTTAAATTTACTTTTAAGAATTAAGATAAATATTTAATGTCACGAAAAATGTGTTACTGTAGACGCATATTTTATAAATTGTTTTTCCAGTCCCCGGTCGTAGAATAATTGTAATTAATAGGTGAATATGAAAATTGTTTACTTGAAAAAGACATATGTTTTGGTTTAATTTATAGAAAAATATGTTTTAACTGATAATAGTCATAAAATACAATTTTAATTTATAACTGGTCATTTTTTTTCAAATCCAACGTTATAAGTTAGGGTAACTATTAACTTAGTGTAACATACCTACTCAACTTCTATTGCTCACCTAATATCTATATCATAGGAAGTAGGGACGTATAACCATGTACACATAAAAGTTCACGAATGGTCAACTGCATGTCTGCATATCCTCCCGTGTGCGCACTTATGAATAATATACTGATATATTCGTATATATATAAATATAGTGTAATACTTACACGAATGCGTCCCTAAAAATTCAACAGTTATTATTATACAGTAATTTAAGTTTATCTCAAGTATTGACCTATTTCGTGTGAGCTCTGTTATCATTGTACTAGACCTAATCGACCACAGAGATCCCCTCTCGATGATTAACTTGCATTTTCATAAATCCCATGAGTCACATAATGTCTTCGTCGTGCATGTTAGGTTACCTACCCCCTGTATGGTAGAAGGCGTTATCAGTTGGTCTGCCACTTAAGGTGTGTAAGTAAATTAATTAAGTTGGTCTTTTTTGGATCGGTAGGTAATCATCAATTACTTTATTGTATATTTACATATTAAATAAATTATATTCATTATTTTCTTTTGTATAATAATTAATAATATTGCTCAAAGAGCTTACAATTTCTTTAATTTTATCAAAAACTTACGGTGCCACACTTGTTAAATACTTTAATGTTATTATTTGGATGAGTCTTAAAATTATTGTTTTCTTTTTTAAAACGACTTATAGGCTTAGCGTTTTTTTCTTTCAATAAAATAAGGAAAATAGTCTACTAGATTACTGGATACAAATAATTGAGTACGTAATAACTATATAGCATATATATATATATATATATATAGCATAATATTATAACTATAATTATGAGTTATGTTCATATTCAATAAAAATATATCTGTTGTGCATTTATAAATAATGTTGAATTAATTTCTAACAACAATCAACAAATACTTAGAGTATCTACGCATAAATGAATCAGTGGATTTTAAAGAACGGCATTGATTTTTCATTATAATAAAAACTGTAAGTAAATGATGAGCAATAACGATCGAAATTACTTAAATATCAGTAACGAGGGGAGGACTAGGAATAAAATTTGGCCCCGTGAAAACAAGAAATTCAGACCAATTTTGGTCCAATAATAAAATATTTATAAATTATCGACCCAAATTTATTCAACATCTATAATAGTGTTTATTATTTTTTAAGTTAATTTTAGTATAATACAATTGGCTATCATACATATTGCTTAAATTTACCTAATTAAAACTTAAAAACTTTAATATTAAATAAAGATATATTCAATAAAATTTAAATGATTATAAACATTAAATAGTGTAATTTTACTTTAAAATAATATGTTAATACTGAAAAAACAACCAACAATTTTTTTTTTATATTTATTTACCCTTGACAGCGTGGGCCATTGGGCTTACAGGGAGGAAATTACAAATTACATAAATTGTAAACTAAATCTAAATTATACTAAATTTTGGTTTGAAGATTGGCGGCTGTGATGAATTGGATGATGTTAACTATGGATTAAGAGTGATTGCTTAGTATTTCGGACAGTGTTTCGGGCAGGTTGAGGCTTGTTCGGGTATTTTGGTATGTTCGGCATTCAGTGAGAATGTGGCTGATGGTGACTTGGACACCTCAGGATGTGCACATTGGGGGTTCTTCCTTGGCCATTAGGAAGCTGTGAGAGATTTTCGTGTGTCCAATTCTAAGTCTGGTTATTATGACTTCAAATTTTTTGTGGATTTCGATAGGAAATTTCCAATTGACGGTGTTATGTTTTATAAAATTTTATTTTGAGTAATCATTTTGTGTTTCATTAGATGTGAACATCTGATGAATTTTTGTTGATATTTCTTTGTTATAAGTGTTCGTATGTCACTGGAAGAAATAATTTGTGTAGACTTTGATAGTGGAGAGGTGATTGCAGTTTTGGCAGCGGGATCAGCTAGTTCGTTTTCTTTTATGTTCGAATATCCGGGAATCCAGAAGTGTTTGATTTTGAAGTTATTATGGTATTGTAAATTGTGGATTTTGTTCTGAATATGGAGGCGAATGTCTGATGGGTTATATGTGTTTTTAATATTGTTGATAGCGCTGAGGGAGTCACTGAAGATAATAGTGTCTTGTAGGTGATGATCGTTTATTATCTCAAGCGCTTTTAATATGGCGATTGACTCAGCTGTGAAAACTGAGCAGGTGCTAGGAAGTTTATACATGAATTCCGCGTTATTCCAGATTACTGCAGCGCCAACCCCGTCTTGGCTTTTGGAAGCATCCGTGTACATATTTTCACTTGTAATATTTTGAATTATGTGGAAATATTCTTTTTTTTAGATGGAAGGGGGTATGTCGTCCTTTTTGAATATAGAAAGTTCAGTGTTGGTTTCGATGAGATTTTTCCATTGGGGGGTGAGAGTGGGAGTAATAGTGAGTACTTTACAAGTATCCAGACAACCAACAATTAATATAGTATTTATAAAGTACTCATTTGTTTGAAGAGTGTTCCATTATTAAAATGTCTAAATTCGTAATGCTCCTTTCTACCAAGGTTTATTAGTATTTTCTGATTACGAATTGCCAACTAACAAAGATGACATTTTTTTACCGGACATGGTTGTTGCATTTTAATGAATAGGCATTTATATTACAAAGTGTACTTGCATTGTTTTCTTATGAAAGTAAAAAACTATGACCGATGTTTTCAAACACTTTATATATTTAATAATAGATAAATGATTGGTTATTTTCTAACTTTTCACAATATCCCTTTCACTAAAGAGGTGAACTTCGTTTAATTTACCAGCCAATCTATGAATCATAATAACTTTTAACAATAATGAGCAAGAGTATTATTTTGATCAGGTACTTCGCTAGCCACATTGTTAAATTGTATTAATACGATCTCGTACGTGACTATAGTTCCAGCAACCTAAATAAATATAATACAATTAGTACTTAATAAGGCAAATACAAAACATTCCAAAGGATAAAAATAATTTTTCGACCAACCGTAAGCATAAACGTTCTAGTGACGGAGAAAAAATTACATCCAGTAAATGATAATTCATCAGCCGCCACTTGCATTAAAAATCTTTCTACCTGTAATAAAAAAAAAAACTTAGTTGGTATTTTATTTAAATAATAATTAAGCATGTAATTTTTAAATTAAACTTAAATTCACCTCCACTCCATAACACTCTGCTGGCACAGAGAATAAGACAGTTTTTGGTTTTTTGCTTTGATCATTAATGGATGCGACGTACAAAGACACCAAGCATGTTCTTCCAACTAGGTATGTAAATAAAAATGCGAAACATAGAGCCTCCCAAGAGCTGTGCATAGGTCTAAAAATATTGTTGTTACTTATTACTTATTAGCCTTAATGAAACGAACGAAAATATATTTTTTAAATACCTACTTCAAGCTGTTGAGAAGTTGTAAGCAAATAAAGTACAAATTATGACCAAATGATAATAATATCACTGGAGATAGAAATTCATCAAAATCGTGTGTTAACGACGCTAAAACATTATATGTTTCTCTAGATTTCCTCCAATACATACTTGGAAGCACCTAAAATTTATATCAGAATAAATTATTATTATTTTTTTTTTTAAGGCTTCGACAACTGAGGTCATTAGCCTGACGGTTGGTAAGGTTGGTCAGTAGGGTTGGAACAGTTGGTACAGTAGGGTTGGAACACGTGAATGTTTGGCAGAATTTCTATTGGGGCACCCGTAGGTTTCTGCCATGCCCCGGAGTGGGGGATGGCGGCACTTGTTCTCCGGACACCGTGACTTGCCCGGAGAAAAATGCCACCCAGTGGTCGAGGATCGAACCCGGTTCGGCAGCGCCGTAGCCGACGCGTTGACCGCTCGGCCACCTCGTCCCCCCAGAATAAATTATATAAACTTGATTGACATACATAACATTTACCTACGATTTACATTGATAGGAGTAATAACGGTTTCACACCAATGAAAATGTATTGCTCGCATTATAGGTAGTAATAGATTAAGTGTAAATTATTGAACATAGGATTGTTGTAAATAAATGGTTTTTATCTTTAGTTTAAATAATTTAATTTCAGATTCTGAGTGGAGTGAAAGAATGTATTCATTTTACAATGATGTGTGTTTTTTCAGTCTATCAGAGTGTCAACAACATTTTGAAAAGTAAAAATGCTCTGATTTTCGAGATCAGCATATTTTCTAATAGAAAAATGAATCAAGTTGGTACTTTTTGTGTGATAAAATGGAAAATTCCTAGTAGAAATCGTCAAAAAAAATTGTGAAACCGCGTTTGGAAAAAATCAATTTTATTTCTTTGCTGTAACTCTAAAACTAATAACCTTTGAAATGATCATTAAATATTTATTATAGCATTTGCAATTAAGGGTAATAATTTTGAAATATTTGAGCTAGTTGTAGCCTTGAGAAGTTCTTAGAAATTCGTAAATTTAATACGAGGTCCCATGTAAGTTTCATTAATGTAAGTTCAAAAATATTTATTAAATAATAAAAAATATTTTTTGTCACGCCTGCACCGAAAGTTTGGTTTTCGATAGCGGTTGAAGTGTTGGAAAGCGTCATTTTTCCATCCAACGGGTGGTAAAGTGGGAATCCCTAAAAGTGCCGAGAGGTAAAGTGGAAATCCCCAAAAGTGATGGGCATATCACGCTCGTATCCCCTGCACAACCAGACACTGAAATCTAATATCTACCACAGTCCTTACAAAACATAAACTTTTGGTTACATCTTATTTTCATATTATAACCTCCATGTGTAACGCCTAAAATAAATAAAACCAAATTGTTTCATGAAATATTGTTGTCATAGAATTATATCTTTATACGTCGCCCGCGACTGAAATAGCTCACTTCCAGCCCTTGCCTCACAATATACTATTTTATATGCATTTAAAGGTCAAATTTTCACAAAATTCATCAAAATGTCGAAAATGTTCAAACTATTTTTCAGTTAAAAATGTATAAAAGTTTTTCTTTTCATAGATAACATTAGAAATTTTGATAGAGTAAAGCTACCCACAAATGTTCCTATCTTAAGCAAAAAAAAAATTTACCAGAAAGTAACAATAATTTTTTATGAGCATTTGAATTTAAAATGTTCACAATATTGAATTTTTATCGGTAAATTAACGAATTTTCATCTATCAATTTTTGAAAACGCATAGATACTTGAATTTTCCACCAAATTTTAAAACGAACATTTTCCATATATGGTAATATTTTAAAAGAATATTGATACAAGAGGTTTTTTAAACTTTGTAAATTATTTTAAAGTCAGAAATACAAATTTTTTTCTATTCTTAGATAAGATTAAACATTTTAATAGAAGATTTCACATAATTTTTTCTACCCACAAAGAGTTTACTTAAACAGAACAACTTAAGATTTTTATAATATTTGATATTCAGCGGGAAATAATTGAATTCTCATTAATCGATTTTTGTTATTTTGTTGTATTTTCAAAACAAATAACCGTAGATTCTTTGAATGTTCACTAAACATGTATATTGACATTTTCCATACATGGTAAAATATTCAAACTATGTTAATTATTTTTCGAGCTATTTATAGAAATGATTATTTTTTCAAATTTTGTAAATTATTTTTTAGCTAGATATTCATCAACATTTTTATTTTCATAGCTAACATTAAAAATGTTAATAAAAGGTTCTTAACAAGTGTTTTTACATCTAATAAAAAGAAAAAGTTCACCGGAAAGTATACTATTTATAGCCATGAGACATTTTTAATTTTTATAATTTTTTTTTTAACTATTAAATTTGATTATTTATAAATGTATGTTAGGTGAATCCACTCAGAAACATTTTTCATATACAATGGTTTATTATTGAATTAAAATGTAACAAAGCCATTACAACGACGTGCTCGACACCTACTGTACAGCAGAGTGGTACCCACTGGAGTTCACCATTTTTTGATATAAATATTATCAATAGGTAAAATATCAATAAGTTTTAATAGTAGATTTTTGTTATTTTTTAGGTGTAATAATAATTATTAGTTATTACTAACTTTTCCCCTGACGCTGTCTAATTTTTGGTTGAGCTGATTGAATTTGTCCGTCAAAGAGCAGGCTAGTATGATTATAAATAAATCCATAAAGTTCCAAGCAAAAGAAGACAAACAATCAAAAAAACCTAAAATTATAGCTACTACGAACGAGTAGTCTATAAACGTAAAAACTGTTTTGAGTGATGTCAAAATGTAAAGTCGAAAAATGCCTAGTCCATCTGGTGAGCAATATATAGCTTTTAATACTCCCGTTAAAATAGAAGCCAAGTGTTCAACTGTAAAAATAAAACATAGATATAATACAGTAATTATTAAGTTGCCTTACATCAATGATGTGCATAAGAGTTTTATAATTGCTCTGAGCTTTCATAAAAAACATCATGTTTTTCTAGTTATATTTTACATACTTATTGAAAGTAACATGATGATACATATTAACATTTTAATCTTAAATGCCATGTTAGGTGGGTATCCGTACTGTTTCATCTCACGTTCCATTAGTTCCCATTTTTCCATAACTTTTGGCCATTCCCTTGCCAAATGGATAAAAACTATGTAATTGATTAGTGTACCTCCAAAAAATACTAAATCACCTGTAAACCAAAACCTAATATTTAAAAGTACCTACTGGTAATACTGAATTCAAAAAACAATTTTTTTGGTGAATTATATATTTTTTATTATTATATGTAATTTAACAAACTGTAATTATTTATTTTCCTAAAAGTGTAAATAAATTTATAATAAATAAAAATATTACCCAGTTTAAAAATACAAGTTAAGTTAAGTCAGGTAGACAAGTATAGACAATAGTCATTTAGTGTGTATACTGTGTAGGTATATAATTATTAGTTCATTGGCGCAATGATAAATATTATTGCATTCAGATAAATAATTCCAAGTCAATCTTAACTGATTTTAAACATGGTTATTATAATATTGTATAGTATATTGTTTGGCGAGGGTGGGAAGTGAGCTATTTCATTCACGTGCATCGTGTTCAGCACAAGTCGCAGGCGAGGGCCGCATTTCGCATAACGCCGTGTCCTAGGTGAATCCGACAAATGCGATAATCGTTATACGACGCGACCGATGCGAATCGCGTTGCCGTCCGTCAATGCGATTGTCGCGGTGGTGTCCTATGTAAATACGACGAATACGATAATATTGCAGGGGATCGCACTTCTAGTGGCATATGCAGCAGTGCAGTTACTGCGTGCGGGATCCTTCTGATCGTGCAGCACACGTCGCTCAGTTCCCGCCCATGCCACACAATATACTATTTCAAATTTAGAATTAATAAATTATTCGAACTTTAAAATTCTAGACTACATATTTATACAATGTACAAAATTGACTATAGTTTAAACGTGAATGATTACCCAGAATAATTAATATTTTCTCAACAAATTGGTATAATTTAGTTTAATAGTCACATAAAAAAATTAATTTAAATCTTTACCGGTGATTTCATATGTTAGTCCATTCCTATACAAGTTGAATATTATCAACGAAATCATCAAGAGAGAAGAGGAAACTAAAATAATGCTGTATGCCATTATCCAGCTGAACCAATTGAAACTAAAACATATAAAATATCAGACGCATGATAAAAATCAACATATTGAAAATATTTTAACTGAAATGATTTCTGTAGCTCAGATCTAGGCTTTTATGGAATTAAAATATTTATATTTATACATTTTAAAATAATAGTATACATACATACTATTTACCCATACATCAATTGTCAACATTAAGATGTAGGTAAAAATTGATATTTCAGCTAAAAATGAAGATGAAATATTGAAATGAAGTACCAAAATACACATTTGAGAATCTTACAAATAATAACAGTTTTTATATCCTGATTCTCAATAGTGCGATATAAACTAATATAAACTTATATTACTCTGTAGTACCTACTACCTAACTTACTTGTCATTATTTAACATAAAATTAAGATGATCAAAATATCTTTAAACACACACTGGTCACTGATTATTCGTAAATTTTAACTTACTCTAACTTTGTCAATATAACATTTCAAAAAAAAACTTTATGTTCAAAAACTATTCTAATAAATAGTCTATGTGCTTACCAAAAAGGTTCAAATTTTCTCAAATTGTTTATTTTGTTGTTATGTTTCACCAATCACCACCCAAATATTATAACTATATCAAACATCGTCCTACTGAAATCTTTAGTATTTTAGTGCTACCTCTTACCGTCAAGTATCTATTTACAAGTATGAATATTTTTCCAGTTGCATTTATTTATTGAAATGTTTAGTACTACTATTAGAGTTCTATGGGTACAACCAAATATTGTTATAAATTGTGGAGCTCTTATTTAGCTCTAATTAATATTTGAATCAAACTGCATATTTATTAATTATACATAGCTTATTACTCACACTAAATAACTAGTGTTTTGTCCTCTAATGCCTTGCACCGGTAAAAGAGCGCATATTTGCATTAAAATAAGTAAGGGTGTGATGGCTCTGTGCAATGAATTTTTATCACTAATTATGTCCTTCCTTATACTGTCTTCCAAAGCTTTGATTCTCACGTAGTTTACTGGCATACCGAGATCGTCTTGTATTTCAAGTGCTTAAAAAAAAAAAATAAAAAAATGTAATATACCATTCTTGATGAATTATTTTGTATGAAAAAAACAACTATCACATAAGGCATTTAACTTTTTGAAATAATAAATGTTCTAAATATATTTCGTATAAGAAATTAATATTACCAATACTCCCCTTGTTTTCTTTTAAGCTCAGTGCGTTGTAATTCGAACGGACCACCGAATCGGTTAGCACACCTTGTTTTAACTGCCGTTCGTATCTAGATTCAGTGAAATTCCTGTCCTTGAGATAAACAGGCCGGAAAGTGTTTTCGTTAGACATAGTAAAAAATGTGAAGACTGGTGTTGTCACTACGGAACGAGTGAACTCGTCACACTAAATGTATTTCCAGAGTTTGACAGTATTATTGTTAAAAATTCAATTGCAAAAATAAAGTACTCTGAGATGTTATCGGAGTATCTGACACACGGAACACACGCTATTTGAATACCTGATTATAGTAATTTTTGACGTTATGAAATGTAATTTTTTACACATCATAAATACTTAATTTTAAGTTGTACCTACCAAATAATAAACGCCTCTCAAAAAATATACATATAGTACATACATAATAATATTATGTGTTTGGTGTATGAAAATTGCTATTACTGATTCACAATGCCCAAGTAGTTTTAATAGTTTCGTTTGAATTTTGTTTCATACGTTCAGTGTGCAAATATATAGGGCGAATGTAAGTTCCCACACGAGATATAGCAGGTAAAAATCACACCCAGGTATGCATACGTAAGTTCCCACACGAAAAAAAATACACCAAATACAAACTTCCTTCCCATTTTATTCAGACTTAGGACTGACAACTTAAATGTAGTTGGTTTGGTTAAAATCTCCTTGTGTTTGTGTTTCATAAAAAAAGTAGAATCAATTTTTTAATTAAATCTAGTCCAAACATATAATAAAAATTAATAATATAATGTGTAGGTATGGTCCTCATATTATTTGTATAAGTAGGTATAAAATAATAATAGTTATAATAATTATAATAATAGTAATAGAAAAAATTAAATTTTATTTGGCTTATTGCGAAAGCTCAATAACCCTTCACATAGTCATACTGTGTAATTATTTTTAAGTATTGTAATCTGATATTTTGTTATTGATATAGTTTCCCCCTAGTATTTGGGCTAGTGCTAGTTCTAATACAAGTTTTGATACTACAAACGCTCGCGAAAGTATAAATAATAAGTGGACTATACCTATACATTATATTATTAATTTTTATTATATATTTGGACCAACTACGTTTAAGCTGTCAGTTCTAAGTCTGAATAAATTTTCGTGTGGGAACTTACGTATGGGTGTATTTTTTTCCGTGAGGGAACTTACATATTATGTACCCGCTTACCTGCTATGTTTCGTGTGGGAACTTACTAAACCCCAATATATAATAATATAATATTTAATCGTCTAAAAATACCTATTTTTGGTATTTTTGTGGCAAATAACATTTCTCATCGTTGTTTAAAAAAAATAATGATTGGTGTTAAAATATAAAATATGTATGAAATCGAAGTAAAATAATAAACTTTACTATTTTATTACTTTTATACACAATAAATCTAAATAAACACTACTTTTAAACAAGACTATAATTTAGTTATTTAAATAAACGATAACAGTTGTTTTAAGAAAGTCCCCAATATTAGGTAGAAATAGAGGTAGAATACAAGGTACTATGTATAGTATTGTTTAAGGCCTTCGATATTATCCAACTTACTTAAATAATATTTTAACATGTTACTTTCATTCAATGATCATAACTCAACAACAGATTAATGTATCTTTAAATAAGCAGCACTGATAATTAAACCATTTATCTTGAACTCTTTCGTTGGAAACCGAAGTACATAATTTTAAATATTTTCTGGAAGTTCTGTAGTTTAAAAAATGTATCTATATTAAATTGTGTTTTAAAAATACTTTAAGTTTTAGTAGGTACCTATACCGATCTAAAATTGTTGGTGTTGTTGATCATGCGCTCGATGACTTCGAAATTATAGATTATAATATAAATATATTAAGTACCTACTACCTACCTATATATACCTACTGTCTACTGTTATTGCTACTAAATTATAACATTATAGTAAACACCACCATGATTGTTTTCAACTAACATAATCTTAATTTTTATCAGGAATAAATGTTATAGCATTTTCAGTTTTGTATCTTGATTAAAAACAGAATTATCACACGATGATATTATGATAACTAAATGATAAATTAAACTCATGTATGTACAATTAATTTAGGCTTACAATTAAACTTTTTAAATAACAAATATAGGTACCTACTGTCCTACTATAATATTTCTAGAACTTATCAAATACTAAACTGTATGATAATTAATAGTATACATAAGCTACAAACAATTTATTTCAAAAATAGGTTATCTAATATCAGTATCGAAGCAAATAGCAATGTACCTAGTTTGAAGATAAGAAATAGATTTTTTTTTTTAAATATTTTAATTTATTGATTATAGTGTAATATAAAATTTATATAGGAATAAACCTTTTATTTATTTCGGGATCACACCGCATTATAAATAATTTCTTTAAAACTAACAAGAATACCCTAACAATACTATTTGTAAGTTGTAATAGTTTTAATGAACACTAAATAAAAAAACGCATATAAAATTTACCGTCAACATTAATATTCTAGTGACCGATAAAAATTCCATCCGGTCAATGTTAATTCATCAGATGTTACTTGAGTTAAAAATCTCGCTATCTAAGGAATCATCTAATAATTTGAAATGAATGTTTTAATGTTTATAATTATACCTATCATATTATAATCTTTATTTTTTTGTTAATAGTGTTAAAATAATTTTCTTTTCATTAATTTTTTACTTTCTCATACTTTACACCTGGACACAGCCCTATTGTACATTTGATACCAATAAAGCTGACTGGGAACACATGAGTAACGTCCTGTAAAAAAATATACATGAACTGGGTCCCAAAAGATCCGGGACCCAATTAATTAATTATAATCAGGGGTTCTGAAACAATTAAAAGTTAAATAAATAACAATACATTTGTTTATTTGTTGAATTTGTAGATGGTAAAATAGGTACTAAAATATGATGTAACCATATACCTTATACTAATAGACGAAGCATGGCAATAGTTTCAGAGGGGAGGGGGTCGATGTGAGTGCGCTGTTCGACTATTACTCAATTAGGTACTACAGACATGCGCAATATGATTTCAGGTTAGGCGATCAGTTATTGCGTATCAATGTATCATATGATAATGGATTGATGAATAATACACAAAAATTATATTGTTTCTGAATTAATAATATATTCACCTATTGAATATATGATTTATTATTAATTAATAACTTTGGTAATTATGCTTTTTTTTTAAATATGCATTTTTAGTTTTGTGTTTCAATAATAATATATTGTAGAAATATGCGAATAAGCACATTTATGTTGTCAGAAGTGATAACACTACTATGATAATGGCGGTGACCGCTCCACCCACAGATGTCTATTTAGTACTAGATAGTTAACTCACATCATGAATTGAAGCTTCAAGGTCGGTTGGCAATTATATGGTATTTTATATGGCAAATAAGATTAATTATGATTTATCTTGTATTGTATTCTATTATAATTTCTAAACCTGTTGTTTAAAAAAATATATTTTAGAAATCATTTTACAGAAGCCAGAAGCTTATAAATTCAAACCTTTTTTCGAAATTATATTCATACTTCAAGAAGTATGTTTAATTTACTAACATTTTAAGGAATTTTTATAGTTATATGCAAGTAGGAATATATTTAATTTTCGCAATATATTGAAGTGTCCATGCGAGTACAAGAGTTACATCCGGCGCCTGACAGCGATTCTCGGAAACTCACTTACTACTCACACATAGACATAGCCCAAATGTACAGTCATATGAATGCCTAAATATTACTCCTTAAAAAAACTGCTTAAACATGATTCGCAACATAAATCGAAATGGTGCGGTGGAATGACAAAAGTAACGTAGCAGAAAAATCCAGAATAATCGCTTACCTATTTTATTTTTCACTTATAGACAAATGAAATTAATGTCTCATTTTTTGTATATTTAAATCCATGTGCCATACTATTTAGTTTACAGCATAATATCATAAACATTTTTACAGATTCCACTAAAAATAAACACCTACTTTAGGACACTATAAAATAACGATTATGTACAGCATTTCAAGTTACTGTTTACTTACACAATGATAATCATAACCAGAGCCGTGCCGTGGGGGGGGGCCTAAGGGGCATATGCCCCGGGCGCATGGTTTAAAGGGGCGCCAAACATTTTTTTTTTATAATATTTTAAACTTTACATAAATAAAATATATGAGAAAGATTATTGTTTTACAATTATTTTGGACCATTACAAATTTTTTCTGAACAAATTTCTGACTATGTTTGAGGAGTAACAATTAGTCAACCAAACGTTTTATTCTTGTTATATTATTGGCTTTATAATAAATTATCGTATTCTTTATCTCAAAATCGACTGCACGTCGAGCACGCGAAGTGCGATAAGCGAATGTCGAGAATTGTCGTGGACAGGGCTATGATAACGGCGCAAACATGACGGGAAAATATCAAGGTGTACAAGCTCGATTAAAAGAGATTAATGAACATGCTCAGTTTGTCCCTTGTGCTGCACACAGCCTTAAGTGTATCAGTAAAAATGATTTCGTTTTTCGGTATTGTACAAAATATATTTAACTATTTTTCTGGATCAACAAGTCGCTGGGAAGTACTAATGCGGTGTTTGAAAATAACATTAAAAACGCACAGTGACACACGCTGGGCATCTAAATATAATGCAGTTCATTCGTTGTATTGTCAATTTGGCGGTGTGATAAAAGCTTTACGTGACATATCTACCAATCCAATTTTTGGCGATGGGGTTGCTAATGCAGAAAGTATATTGAAACAGTTTGATTTGGAATTTGTTTATTTTTTAGTCATGTGGGATAAAATATTGAATCAAATATATCGTGTAAATAAATTATTACAAAGCTCAAATATTTCAATAGATCAGGCTTCAAAAATGATAAATTGTTTAAATGTTTCTCTCCAAGAAATGCGTGATAGTGGAAATGAACAAATTAAAACTGAAGCTATTAGTATTTGTGATAAAGTTGGAATAAAATCTGAATTAAAAATCAAAAGGACAATAAAAAGGAAAGTTATGAGTGGAGAAAATTCATCGGGTGAAGATATTTCTGCAGATCAATTTTTAACATTGGAATACTACAAAGTTCTTGATAATATGATGGCTCAAATGAAATGGAGGTTTGAACAATTATCAAATATTGCTGATGATTTTCAATTCCTTTCTGCTCATTCACTATCTGTTACACCAGTTGAAAAATTGAAAAAATATGCAGCTGATTTAGCTATCAAATACAACGAAGATATTGACCAGGAAATAATTAACGAAATCGAATTTTTTAAATATCAAGTAAAAGCAATTTTACCAGACTTAAACGCAACTGCTTTAAATATTTTAAACGCAATTAAAAAATATGAACTTGATTCAACTTGTCCAAACTTAATGACTGCATATAGATTGTTTCTTACCATGCCTGTTACCGTCGCTTCCGGGGAACGCTCTTTTAGTAAATTGAAACTAACTAAGAAGTATTTACGGTCAACCATGTCGCAAAACAGATTAACCAATTCTGCAATATTATCAATTGAGCATGAAATAACAAAAAGCATTGATTTTAAAGACGTCATTGAAGATTTTGCTTCAATAAAGTCCAGAAAATTTAAGTTTTAACTATATGATACTTATATATGATAAGCTCTTATGATACGTTTGTAAATATAACATGTATATATAATATAATTTGTGATTTTTATCATTTTTAATTATTTAATACGGTATAAATTAATAAATTATACCTAACTATTTTGTTTAAAAATTACTATTACAATTAACTTTAGTTTTTTGTCAAATTAATGTTCAAAATACGTTGTAAAAAAAAAATTAAATTAAATTAAATAGGAATGAAACGCATTATGATAAATAAAATAGGGGGCGAATATTTTTAATTTTGCCCCGGGCGCCAAATCGTAACGGCACGGCTCTGATCATAACCACATAATATTTCATTAATATTTACTTCAATATACTCAACAATATTTTTCTTAAAAAATATATTCCTATACTGAAAAAAATGAATAGTTAATGCAAGTATTTATAACGCATCCATTCCTTTGAAGAATGTTACATTATTAAAATGTCTAAATTCGTAATGCTCCTCTCTGCCAAACTTTACTTGTATTTCCAGATTACGAATAACCTTCTTACAAAGATGAAATTTTAGATTCTGAGTGAAACGATGAATGTATTGATTTTACAATGATGTGTGTTTTTTTTTAAATTTTTAAATTTAAAATTTTTTTTTGTGTCTGTCATCACGTTTTAGGACAGTAAAAGTGCTTAGATTTTCTTCAACAGTAGCTTTTCTGATAGGAAAGTGAATCTTGTTGGTACTTTGGGGGGTTAAAAGTAACAATTTCCCAGTGGTTTTCAAAAGCGCCGTGAAAAACAAAAGAAAAATTAAGGAAAAACGGGAATTTTTACGCAAAATCTGTATTTGAGAAAATCGATTTTGGATTTTGGTGCAACTCTTAAAAAAATGACCGTAGGTACATGACATTTTGACTGAATGGTTATATTAGAATTTTCTATATACGATAACATTCTCAAAATGTTTTGATTTATTTTGAACTATTTAGGGACATTTTCATTTTCCATTTTTTTTTAGTTTTTTTTCCAAAAATATCAATAAAATTGTATTTGTTGGTTGCAAAAGATTGAAAATTTAATAGAAGGCTTCTGGTATATTGTTTCAAAGGCAGATGAAAAATATTAAAAATCATTAGTCACAATTTTTTTTTATAAGCATTTAAAGTTCAAAAATTGACAAAATATGGAAATATCACGAAAATTAGCAAATTATTTTGAGTTAAGAATTCGTACAAATTTTTCTTTTTAAATCTAAGATTTGAAAATGTAATACAAGATTCCTTATAAGATTATCTACCTTTATCAAAAAAAAAATGTCTATAAGAAAGTCAAATTAAATTTTTATGAGCGTTCGTAATTCAAATTTTTACAACATTGGATATTCACTCGATTTCTCATGTAGCGATTTCCTTATTTTGTTTTAATTCAAAAACAAATAACTGTAGATACATGAAAAATTCATTGAATGCTTATATTAGCATTTCCTATACACCATACAATTTTGAAAATATTTTGACTCTTTTTGAGCTGTTTACGGACAATTACAGTTTTCAAGTTTTTTAGTTTTATTTTCTATAAATATCAATAAAGTTTTATCTGTTGGGCCAAAAAGTGTAAAAAATTTAATACAAGGCTCCTGATATATTGTTACAAAAAAGCAATTGAAAAATATTAAAAATACATATTCACAATTTTTTTTTATAAGCATTTAAAGATCGAATTTTGACAAAATTGATCAAAATATCGAAAATTATCAATCATTGTAATTAATAAATTATAAAATGTTTAGTTTTTATAGCTAAGGATTGCAAATTTAAAACAAAGCTCATAAATAATTCATACTGTAACCAAAAAATCTAAAAATATATGAACACAGTAATGTTTTACAGACATTTTAAATTCAAATTTGGACGAAATTACATAATAAAAAACCTAGAATAACTATTTTAGTTATTTTGTTGTGATTGTATAATATTATTTGTTGGTACTTGAAACTTCTAAAGTATACTACTATACATGTATATCTATGATAGTATCAGGGTTTGTTGTTGGTGTATAATGCGTTATAAGTTCCTAATGGATATTGTGATATGATTAATTTTTAATTCATTATACGTCAATTTTTTTTAATACCATAGATAAATATATTATATGTCTTATACCTAGAAGAACATACGGTCTCCGCTCAGAATCGTTTTTCTTATACCTACAATGATATAATATCATTGAATTCAAATGTAATACCATCCATTATATAGTGACCCACTTGTAATCTACTTACAGCAGAGCGACACCCACTTGCCCACCTTTTTTTTACTTGACCGTTGTTGTATTTTAGTGATTAATTATTTATGTTGCAAAGTACACATGAATTGTTTTGTTATGAAAGTATGACCAATGATTACAAGCACATTATAAATTTAATGAGAGACAAATCAATGGTTAAGTTCTAACTAGACATAGTAATCCTTATAATCACTAATGAGGCGAATAACTATTCATTTAATTTTCCAGCCAAACTATGAATCATAATAACTTTAATAACAATAATTAGTAATAGTATTATTTTGATCAGGTACTCCGCTTGCCACATTGTTAAATTGTATTAATACGATCTCGTACGTGACTATAGTTCCAGCAACCTAAATAATCATGATGAAATGAAACATTAGCACTTATAACGTAAACAAAAAAAGTGTTCCAAAATAGATATATATTATTTTCTGACCAACCGTTAGCATAAACGTCCTTGTGACGGAGAAAAAATTACATCCAGTAAATGATAATTCATCAGACGTCACTTGCATTAAAAATCTTTTTACCTGTAATAAAAAAAAAAACTTAGTTGATATTTTATTTAAATAGTAAATAAGCATGTAATTTTTAAATTAAACTTAAATTCACCTCGACTCCATAACACTCTGCTGGCACAGAGAATAAGACAGCTTTTGGTTTTTTGCTTTGATCATTAATGGATGCGACGTACAAAGACACCAAGCATGTTCTTCCAACTAGGTATGTAAATAAAAATGCGAAACATAGAGCCTCCCAAGAGCTGTGCATAGGTCTAAAAATATTGTTATTACTTATTACTTATTTACCTTAATGAAACGAACGAAAATATATTTTTAAAATACTTCAAACTGTTGAGAAGTTGTAAGCAAATAAAGTACAAATTATGACCAAATGATAATAAAATCACTGGAGATAGAAATTCATCAAAATCGTGAGTCAACGACGCTAAAACATTATATGTTTCTCTAGATTTCCGCCAATACATACTTGGAAGCACCTAAAATTTATTGCGTGAGTATGAATTTATTTGTGAGTGAAAATATTAGTATTACTCATATAGGTAGTAATAGACTAAGTGTAAATTAACAAACATAGGATTGTTGTATATATGTGTTGTTTATATTTAGATTAACAAACAATTCACAATCTTAAAGTTTTTATGCAAAAATGAATTGATCTACTTAGTACTTACCTAATACCTACGACCAGTGTTGTGCATTATCTAGATAAAAATATTCATCTTTTTATCTTATCTGTGTGATAAGACCAGATATTGATAAGACTCATTTTTAGAGGTTAAGTAATTCAATTAAAATAATGGTCTACAGACAATTAGATAATATTTTTATTCATTTCACTTGATTTTTTCCGTTTTTCAAAAATGTTTAATACTTATTTGAAATTTAAAACAACTGGCCATATGCCACAATTAGTAGTTCACTAGGCATCATCCGAACTGCGTAGTATTTTTTTATGTTAGTATGTTTAAAACCAAACAAAATTACCTTTCAATTTCGTTTAGATTTAATTATCTGCATTGATTATAATGTTTTTTCCAACAAATCATTTTTTGTCAAAAAAAGTCATAATTTAATAAAATAATAAAATTTAGTGTCCATATAATTTAAAATATCCAATATATTAATATGCGGTAAACGTTCTTAGTTTTTATCCTAATTAATTAATTTAATCTATAGGTATTGAATTTTTATATAAAACAAGCTGATCCCGTGCACTTAGTTGCCTGGCACCAATAATTATTATTATCATAGCTTCAAAACCCATGGCGCCATTTATAAACAAAAATTTTCATCGTAAATCTTAAAATCCCTGTTCTCCTGGGGTTGGTCCTATTCCTTTTTAGGGTTCCGTACGTTTCCCTACGGAAGCCTATTACTTTCACTCGGCTGTCCGTGATTGGAGATAAAGGTCTAAAAATCTTGACTACACTTTTCATAGTCAATGTGAATCTAACAAGACCCCAAAGAACAAAATCCGTTATCCAGTTTCGGAAATTTACCTCGCTAAATAAAAATCTATCGAAAAATAACTCTTGTTCTATCTGTGAAAAATCAAATAATTAAAAAAAAATTTTTTTTCCACATTCAGTGTCTAACTTGATAATCCCTTTTTAATGAGTTATCAACCAACTTTCTACCTAGGTATCATAGTTGAGGAGAAAAGTAAAAAAAAAATAGAAATTTTGGGACTGTTCACGTCAATGCTTTTGTGGATTCAAGTGGTTATACGCTATCGCTTGGGTGTGATATCAAATCTCTCTCATTAATATTTGATATTGAAGCTAGCTAAATTACCCACCTACTCATGATTACTGAGTTACATTTTTATTATTTTCCTATTTAACACAAATTCTTGAAGTTTTCAAAATTCAGATTTTTTTCATTTCAATTACCTACCATACTTGATTAAAAATCAAAAAAGTAATATGCATTGTTATGATTTTAATTATTAAAAAGTTAAGTTAAGGTTTTTATTACTATATGCTATTTAATTTTTATGATTTTTATTAAAAGATAAGTATTTTGTTGTTTTATTGAATTGCATTGTTAAATTATCATATACATATAATATATAATTAATATGTAATAAATTCCTTTTTCTAAGACGGTAGTGAGAATAAAATGAAATGTGCAATCCGAAATTTTATAAATAATAGGGCCTGCTTTAGAGTTAAATTATAAAGTTACGTACAAACAGCACGGGGTCCGCGATCTACCGCAGGTAGATTTCCAACCTGATAATATACTGCTGCGAATCAGAATTTTTATTCTGGGCAACGGAAAAGTTAAGATTGAACACCATACACCGAATATTAAATAACGAATTGAACAGAGTTTGAGTCATATAGAGTTGGTACATTTAACGAGCAACGAATAGTGTACGGGATCAGCTAGTAATATTATATATCTGGTTGCCATGGTTATATATTATGGACACACACATAGCCGGAAATCTCTAAATGATAATATATAAATGGTTGCTATGGTGATATAGACACACAGACAGACACACAGACAGACAGACGGACATACATTCATTTATATATAGATATATATATACTCTGTTCAGTTTCAGATTGAACCGCTCGCTCGACCAAAACACGTTTTTTTAGCGCATTCCGGACACCGATGGGAGCGTATGCACGATCGCCAGCACCAGTTCCGACGATCGACGACAGCCGGCGATGACTGTCGGCCAATCACAGAATGCATATCCATCGCATGGTTGAGGGGGGGGGGGGGGGGGTCAGGCACTGTTCGGCGGCTCAGTCTGCATGCGCGAAGCCGGTTCAATCTTAACCTGAACTGAGTAGATCTATAGATAGATAACAAATTATATTAACTAAAAAGTTATATACGAGTGTATACATTAAAGTTTAATTAACAGTCTTAAAAAATATACAAACTGTATGATTATCTGTTATCTTATCTAGACACTTCGAAAGTTATCTGTGCACAACACTGCCTACGACTATACCTAATTATATTTTTATATCGACCAACAATAAATTAGATTTCAGTAGGTACCATAATGATATTCAGTTTTATGAATTTAATATAATTTTATGATTAAAATATTATTAAGAGTTATTAAAATATCAAATAGTTATAATATACAATTTTTTTGTTATTAGCTAAGTGTTAGTTATTACTTACTCTTCCCCTGACGCTGGCTAATTTTCGGTTGAACTGCTTGAATTTGTCCGTCAAAGCACAGGCTAGTATGATTATTAATAAATCCATAAAATTCCAAGAAAGAGAATACAAAAAATCTAAAAACTTCAAAGTTATAGCTACTACAAACGAGTAGTCTATAAACGTAAAAACTGTTTTGAGTGATGTCAAAATGTAAATTCGAAAAATGCCTATTCCATCCGGTGAGCAATATATAGCTTTCAATAATCCCGTTAAAATAGAAGCCAAGTGTTCAACTATAAAAATAAAACACAATATAAATGTAATACAATTATTATAACCAATAAAGTATCATACAACAATATAAATTAATTTTAACATTGCATTACACTATTACAGTAATTATGTAAGAATTTTATAATTGCTCTGAGCTTTCATAAAAAACGTCATGTTTTTCTAGTTATATTTTACATACTTATTGAAAGTAACATGATGATACATATTAACATTTTAATCTTAAATGCCATGTCAGGTGTATGTCCATATTGTTTCATCTCACATTCCATTAGTTCCCATTTTTCCATAACTTTTGGCCATTCCATTGCCAAATGGATAAAAACAATGTAAATTATTATTGTAGATCCAAAAAATAATAAATCACCTGTAAACCAAATAACCTTATATTTAAAAGTACTTATACTGGTAATAATTATTTCTAAAAACTGTGAATTATAATCTTTTTTTATTATTAGGTATATGTAATTACACAATCTGTAATTATTAATTTTTCTAAAAGTGTAAATAGATTTATAATTAATAATACTATTACCTAGCTTAAAAATACTAGACGTTAGTAATTAGTACTAAAAGTAAGAATTTATTTTTCCATAATTACATATTATAGCTAAATCAAGTACACAAGTAGACATCTAGTGTGTATGGTTATATAAATTATTAATTCGTGAGAGCAATGATAGATATTATTGCATTCAAATAATGAATTTAAATAAGATTTCAGCTTTGTACTTATAGAGTTATTTAAATATTTATTTTTACAAAAAGTGAAAAATATTTTATTATTTCTTCAAATTTAAAACTAGTAAATCATTTGACAATACAAAAAACTCACTATAATTCAAATTTGAATGATCACCTAGAATAATAAATATTTTCTCAACAAATGTGTATAATTAAGTTGGTATAACCATTCATTAAGAGTCTATTATTTGAAATTAAAACAGAAAATAAATTGAAAGCTTTACCAATGCCCGCATATGAAAGTCCATTAATATACATGTTGTATATTATAAACAAAACCATTACGATAGCAGAGCCAACTAAAATAATGCTGTATGCCATTATCCAGCTGGACCAATTGAAACTAAAACATATTATAAAATAAAAATAACCCATGATAAAAGTTAACTCATTGATTGTACATTTTAGGAAATCTTTTAACTGAAAATATTTTTGTACTCCAGATATCAGCTTTTATAGAATTAAATATATTTATATTTATAAAGTTTAAAATAATAATAAGTATACTTACATAATATATACTTATAATATGTTCACAGTAAGGTTTAGATACCAATTAATAGTTCAGTTGAAAATGAATATAGAAGGCAATGCCAACATACCTACATATTTGGGAAACTTTCAAGATAATAACAGTGTTTTATGCGCATGTGCAATAGAGAGATGTAACTTACTTTGTAGTAAATAACTGACTTGAAAATTACAAGTATTAAGATATTTCTAATTGCTTTTATTTATTAAAATGTTTAGTTCTACTACAACTGTTAAATCAAACTGAGTTATAGGTACACAGCGTATTACTCACACTAAATAACTAGTGTTTTGTCCTCTAATGCCTTGAACCGGTAAAAGAGCGCACATTTGCATCAAAATAAGTAAGGGCATGATGGGTCTGTGCAACGAATTTTTATCGCTAATTATGTCCTTCCTCATACTATCTTTTAAGGCTTTGATTCTCACATAGTTTACTGGCATACCAAGATCGTCTTGTATTTCAAGTGCTTGAAAAAAAAATAAAAAAAATTTAATATACCATTCTTGATGAATTATTTTGTATGAAAAAACAACTATCGCATAAGGCATTTAACTTTTTGAAATAATAATTGTTCTAAATATAGTTTGTATAAGAAATTAATATTACCAATACTCCCCTTGTTTTCTTTTAAGCTCAGTGCGTTGTAATTCGAACGGACCACCGAATCGGTTAGCGCACCTTGTTTCAACTGCCGTTCGTATCTAGATTCAGTGAAATTCCTGTCCTTGAGATAAACGGGCCGGAAAGTGTTTGCGTTGGGCATATTAAAAATTTCGAAGACTGGTGTTGTCACTAAAACACGAGTAAACTTGGCACACTAAATGTCTTTCCAGAGTTTGACAGTATTATTGTTAAAAATTCAATTGCAAAAATAAAGTGCTCTGAGATGTTATCGGAGTATCTGACACACGGAACATACGTTATTGGAATACTTGATTATTGTAATTTTTGACGTTATGAAATGTAATTTTTTACACACCTTAAGGCTTAAATACTTAATATTGTAGTTTGTATCTACCCAATAATAAACGCTTCTCTGAAAATATAAATATAGTATATATACATAATATGGGTTTGAGTTAGAAAATAATCTTAATTTTAACCATGAATACATTTTATACCATGTTCATTGGTTTATCTTGATTAAAACAAAATAATCACACAATGCTATTATATGATAACTAATTGATAGATCAGATTCGTGCAAATAAAATTAATTTAGGTTTACAAATAAACGGTTTGAATAAAATTTAGCTTACCTACAACAATATTGCTAAAACTTAAAATACTAAACTGTATAATATTATACAGACAATTTATTTTAAAAATAGGTAATCTAATATCAGTATCTAAACAATGTAAATTACAGATTAGAAATAGATTTTATTTTTACGTTTGTTTTTGAATAATAGTTTAATTAATTGATTATAATGTAATATAAAATTTATATAAGAATGAAACTTTTTTTTATTTTGTGGTCACACTGCATTATAAACAATTTATTCAAAACTAAAAAAAAATACTCTAACAATACTACTCGTAAGTTTTAATAGTAGATATACTTTTTCTTGAATACTGAAAAGTATTTAATATAAATTACAATAATTATGGACAGTAAACAGTTGTATGATTTTGACCATTTCCGTCACTATTTACACTGTTGAACTGTATCAATACGATCTCATATGTGACAATTGTTCCAGCAACCTTAATAATTGTATAAAAAAAAGAGTATGTAACCATAATTTTAATGAACAGTAAAACTCATATAAAACCAACCGTCAACATTAATGTTCTAGTGACCGAAAAAAAATTGCATCCGGTCAATGCTAATTCATCAGATGTTACTTGTGTTAAAAATCTTGCTACCTATAATTAAAGGAAGGAGCATTAAATATTTTTTTTTTTTAAATCTCTATAACTATTTTTTAATTCATCCATTTCAAGTTTAATGCATGTGCATCTGTCCGATAAAGAATCATCTAATAATTTCAAATTAATGTTTTAATGTCTATATGTTTCTATTTATCTGTTAATATTGTTAAAATAATTTTTATTTCATTCATTTTTTACTTCAACCCGGCAAGATTCAGCTAGTTGTAATTTATAATATTACATAATAAATCTCGAAACAGGGATATATAGTATGTATTAGAGATCAGGACCTTCTATAAATAAACCAGTAAAAACCAAAAAACGGAAAAATTTTTACTAATCTACCTAATATCTGATCAAAATAGTGTGACGCAATTCATGTAAGTACATATTTTTTACGGACCGCAACTAAGATGCTCCGGGTTGATTAATATTTGATATTCTTTCTAGTATACCTATACTGTATAGGTACCATTATATTACTAATTCCCATCTTAGATCCTAATCTTATCGAAAGCCACATTTTTGTGTACACTTAATACTTTAATGCGTTTTAGACCAATATATTTTGTATTTTATTTCGAATAATAATTGTTTTAAAAAGATTTAAAAAAATGCTTTTTATCTTGTATTTTTTTTAGACATATTATAAAGTTTGAGAATAAAATATTGAAAAACAGAGATCGATTTGGGCTATAGAATATTTCTCTCTAGCAATTAAAAAAAAAAATTATGAAATTTGGTTTATTTTACAAGGCGTTATCGTTATTCCTGCAAAGTGTATTTTTGAGGAGAAAATGGCATCGGCACCGGGCTCCTTAATATTCACTTCAATGTAACTACACAACAATATTTATTGTTTATTATTTGATTATTTATAAACACAGTTTATTTTACATATTATTAGTTACCATAATTAATCCCTATGATACTATTTAGCTTATAAATTTTAATTCACCTCCACTCCATAACTTTCGGTCGGCACAGAAAATAAGATTGCTTTTGGTTTTTTGCTTTGATCGTTTATGGAAGCAGCATATAAAGATACTGCACATGTTCTTCCAACCAAATATGTAAATGAGAACACGAAGTAAATGGCCTCCCAAACGTTGTGCATTGGTCTGTAAACACGTTTAGCCTTAATAAAGTGTACATAACTAATAGTTATTTGCATACTTCAAACTGTTTAGAAGCTGTAAGCAAATAAAATACAAATTGTTAGCAAATGATAATAATATCACCGGTGACAAAAACTCATCAAAGTCTTGAGTTAACGACGCTAATAGGTTATATGTTTCTCTGGATTTCCGCCAATACGTACTTGGAAGCACCTAAATTTCAATCGTTAATGTACATATTGTACAATATCATTATGTACAAGTGTCGGGAATAATAATTTAAAAATCTAGTATATATTAACTATTAAACCATTACCCAATAGGTGGTTGTTTAAATTGTATTAGTCGTTACGCTTTAAAATGTTAAAATGTAGAATAAATTGTAGAACACAAATTATGTGACACAATAATAGTTAATGATAATAATAAATTTCGAATAAATATTAATACATTGAAATCTTATACAGTTATACACTATACAGTTGTTGTAGACCAAGACAGGTGCGGATACAAGTGTGGTAAATCACCCCACCCTTGCCTTTAGATACTTAAACTATTTCAAAAATTACCTTAATTTTTAGTTTATTAACTAAACTACTAAAGTTAAGAGGTTATAGTGATGCAGAGGTTTCATCGATTCTGCCAGTCCTTTTTATACTAGGGGATAAGGTATTATATCGATTCCATTAGCCTCAATTCCACATACGTCTCACCAGCCCACCCCATACGTAAAATTTATGGTTCTTCATATTCAACCTTTAGTACGCCATTTGTATACATTTTGTATGACCATTGTTCCCATTAGTATGACCTTGGTTTTTAAGTTATAAATGGAGGTAGTCTAAAAACAACCTATCAATTCCGCCAGGGAAAAGATAATCTTCCCGAACGAAAATTATAGTTCTATTTTACTTACATAGCTATAATATTATAAGTATTATATGAAATAGGTACCTGAAAAATGTTATCACTAATTAATGATAATCTACCATGAATTATACGACTATAGAGACTAGTCATATCGTCCTACACTAATCTGGTTAGTCTCGAGTCTCGACTTATCATCATATCATTATACTTTCAAATAATGAATTTCGAAATTGTAGCTAGTAAATGATAAAATAACTTATATAGTTATTTAACAAAATAAAAATTTTTTTAAAACAAACTTTGTCAAGACGTATTTATGTGCGTATAAATAGAAATGTGTTAGTAAAAAGTGTAACTTATACAAAAGTATATACATAAATGAATCTTTAACGGACATTTTAAAATATGATATATTTTTCGATTAACATGTTGAAAAAAAAACTATTTTCAAACCAACTCAAAAGAAAACTTACTGATTTCACACTTTCACAGAAAGTCCTTCAAAAATTATAAATTTTGAAATATTTACTAAAAACCGGGCTTGAAACCGTAAATATTTTTTCCTATTTCGATTTCGATTTCGGTTATCGGTATTTATTTTTTCTGACTTCATTTTTGGTTTTGAATACCTACCAGTTTTATATTTTTCGATTTCGATTTTCATTACCAGTATTGATTGATTTTCAAGCCCTGCTTAAAAATACCATAGAAAATTACTATGTAGACAGTATTAAACAATGTAGGTATACATCGAGAACCTAGAAAACATGAAATCTTGTTGAAGTGATTGAAGCTATGAATATGTAATCGAGAAATAAGAACTGTTGAAGCTTGAAGGAGAGTCATTTTTAATACATACAGATTTGGTGAACAATATGATGTGTTTTTCTACAAATAGTACCTAATTTGAAGGCTCTAAACTCGTCCAATACAATATTTGTTGATGGTACGTTTTCTTCATGTCCTATATTTTTTATCAACTTTTTACAATCCATGTAAATATAAATGGGCATTATGTTCCATTAGTTTTTTTTAAATATTTAAATGAATTTTTGAATTATTTTGTAGATATATTATTATTATTATAACAGAAATAGATTGACAGCAAGGGGTACCAGGTCGAGGCAAAAATTGATAGGTGGCGGAATTGACAGGTTGTTTTTAGACTACCTAAACTGGCGGAGTCAATACTGGCGGAATTGATGCTACATGTTATGAATATAAAAAAATATTCATATAATTAATCAATACCTATATGTGTTAGAAAAAAAATATTATACATTAATTTGATCTTCGATATAATTGAATAGTTAATTAATTAATTAATTATTTATCTATATAATATATATACGTACATTGTACCTATATTTATATTTAGATAATAAATTACGACTAACCTTTCCTTTGACACTGGCTAGTTTTTGATTGAGCTGCTTAAATTTGTCGGACAACGCACATGCTAGTATGATAATAAATAAATCCATATAATTCCAAGCACAAGCAAGCATAAGATTTAAAAATCCCAAAGGTATAGCGATTACGAGTGAATAATTAATCAATGCAAAGACTTGTCGAAAAGACATGGAGAAGTAAGCTCGAAAAATATCAAGCCCACCCGTCGAACAAGGAATTGCTTTCATTATTCCTGTTAAAACGGAAGCAGAATGTTCAACTGTAAAATAAAATTTAAAAAAAAATAATATTATGCATAGCTAATTGTTACCGTGTGATTTTTATCATATGGCTCAACTTTATTATTTTTTCTCTAGTAAAAAATTTAATCAAATTATAATTTTTAGAATTATTTAGTTTATAAATTTAGGATTTTTTTTCAAAAAATTAGATTTTTATACCATTTAAAAAGTATTCTTACTCTTTTGCAAAATTTCTTTTCCCGTTTTTTTATTACAAATTGTCAAAAAGATGTTTTATTCAATTTTTAAATACCTATACATAAATGAAAACTCGAACGAGTAAATAAACTTTGAGTACTTACTGAAGATAATAATCTATGATAATAAGCTATCTGACTATGTAAAGGTCCCCACACACTGCAGCGGTGGCGGTGGCGGTGGCGGTGGCGGTGAATTGCTGTAGGACACATTTCACCGCTCACCGCGGCGGTGAAGCCAAGACAATAGAATTTAACGCCACCGCCACCGCTGCAGTGTGTGGGGACCTTAATATGGAGGGAGATTCAATGATTTGAAAATTATAGTTATAAATATTAATTAATAAAAATAGTAAAATTTGTTAAAAAAAACCACTGAAAAATACCACCCTCAATCAATTTCTACCACTATAAAATTCCCAATCTCCGACCCACAGAAAAATCAAATTAAAAATGTTTTTATTATTATTTATTCTTATATTGATTGTTTATAAATATGTACAAATTATAACATGATTACCCAATTTAAGTGAACAAATTTGTCCAAACCCCATGGTTTAAGAGATACATTTTTTTATTGATAGAGTATAACATGTATGTATTAAATTAAATATTATAAATGTATTGTTTATTTTTATCATTACTAAGAACTATCATCCTTAGAACCCTATAGTTTAATAAGTCAGGATCTACTTGTTTGAATTTCGATGTATATCAACATTTTAAAAAAAAACCCCTCATCAACAATGTATTACATAAAGTGGTGGTTCTCATACCCGCCATGAGCAGCATCACGGTCTAAAAGACCGTGAGTTTATTATTTTACTAATAAGTCATTGTGAGTATTTTACTTGGTTTCGTGCAAATTGATACCTTCAATGTACATGTTAACCTATTTTTTAAAACTATTTAGAATATTTAATTATTGTTTGTCGATTTTATAGCTATTTTTAAAGTCTGTAACCGGTCAGCAAGACCGTGTGCGACTAACCTCAGTATTATTTTCGTCGGCGTCCAATTTTAAATGGAAAAACCAACAAAAACAATATTTCCAGTCACTATTAAGGTACGGTTTCCCTTGTGCGATCGCGATCGCGAACCGCCATCGCGAACTACGAATTAAGATCGCATTCGCGTCATGTTGGTTTGCTCTAGACGATTCTACGTCGCGACCGAAATATTTATAATTTTATTTTAACAGTCGTCCGTCAGTCGTACTCGATATTTTGAAGTGCTAAGTTCACGGTGTACGAGTAGGTACTGTTCGTATTTAAAAATTATTATAATGGATACAGTCGATAAAGAAATCTTAAAAATGATTTTGCTAGAAGAAGAAGAAGATGATGAGATCATGAGCTGGTATTTGTCGGAAGAAAAAAGAAAGCAGCATGATCCATTATTTACAAAGATGAGTACCGAAGGTTATCACGAAATACTTATCAACGGTCATTTTAAAGATTAAACCGTCATCAGTTCGATTTTATTTTGAATCTAATAAGGGACGATTTAACATTAAATCCAACATTTTTTATAAGGAAACCCATATCACCAGAAGAAAAATTGGCGGTTACATTGAGGTAAGTACAATTTTTAAATTAGATACAGATAAATTAAAATTAAATAAGAACTCATATTTATTTATGGAATACTGTTGTTTTATTTTAATATACAATTTGTATCAAAGTTAAAAATAAATCAATTTTCTATCGGTACAAATTAAAGGTACTTACTTTATCATATTATATTTCATTGACTTATGAAAAATTAATTTTAAAAAAAACCAAAATACCTTATAAGATAATATTTTAAATTTACTGAGAATTTGTGTTCCATTCATTACTCATATTTTGAACTGACTGGAAAGGCGTAAATGTCGTTGTATTTGTTGGTCCGAACTATTGTTGGATACTCGAATATGATGGTGAATCTAGTGAAGGTGGACTATAACTATATGGAGTAAAGTTGTTAGAGTATGGTGAGCTACTAGTAGAATTATTTGACTGTAATGATACTCTGCTACAGTGCTACTGCAGTTAGGTATGATGTGGACGTTATGTGTATAATTATCAGCTTGAAGTTCCAAGTCAGTCACAATTGTCAACATTTTCAATTTCGCCTGTGAAATTAACTGTGGTGGCAACTTTTTGACAGATAGAGCTAAACTTTTGAAAAAATTATCAACCTCATCGTACTCGTCCTTATTTTGTTTAGCAATCAGTTGCGTCATCAGCTCCGTTCTTTCCTTTGATCTTTTGTCCAATAATTCAGTGACTTTTAAATTTTTTCTTTTATTAGTCGGTTTTTGTGATCTTGAAGTCGATGGAGATTGAGGATCTTGCGTTATTGGTGATGACTGCAGTATATCATCTTGTGTGATATTTATTTCCTCTTCGTCTGAGCCAGAATCTTCGTTATTATCAGTATCAAATATATTTGATATAGTGCTGTTAAAATGAATAATAAATAATAATAATCTGGTATTATATAGCCATTGCACTAGGGCAAGGATGTTGTTGCATTTGCATTTGCATTTTTTTCTGTTTCAATTTATTGTTAAGTAAGTTTTAAATGTGTTGAATGTAAATACGAATTAAAATCTAAAACTCTTAGGTGCAATTCTATGCAATTTTTGGATTTTAGATTCTGAGTGAAACGATGAATGTATTGATTTTAAAATGATGTGTGTTTTTTTTTTTTATTTTTTTTTTTGTATCTGTGTACACGATAAGTAGTCGAAATAATGCTTCGATTTTCGACTTCAGTATCTTGTTCGATGTGAATATCGTTGGTCCATTGGGGAGGTCAAAATTTAAATTTCGCAATAGTTTTCAAAAGCGCCGGGAAAAACCACATGAAAATTAAGAAAAAACGGGAATTTTTACGCAAGATTGGTTTTTAACTCTAAAACAAATGAACGTATATACATGAAATTTTCACTGATCGTTTATATTCGCATTTTCTATACACAATAAAATTTTTCAAATATTTTGACTCTTTTTGAACTGTCAATTTTTTTAGTTTTTTTTTTTTTTTAAATATCAATAAAATGTTATTTATTGGTTAAAAAACCTTGAAAATTTAATACAAGGCTCTTAGTATTTTGTTTCAATGGTAGTTAAAAAAAATTAAAAATCCTTAGTCACAACTTTTTTTTATAAGCGTTTAAAGTTCAAATCTTGACAAAATACGGAAAAATCACGAAAATTAGCAAATTATTTTGAGTTGAAAATTCATAAAAATTTTTCTTTTGAAATCTAAGGTTTGAAAATGTAATACAAGATTATTCATAAGTTTGTTTACCTTTATCAAAAAAAAAAAAAGTCTACTAGAAAGTCAAATTGAATTTTTATGAGCGTTTGAAATTCATATTTTTACAACATTTGATATTCACTTGATTTCTCATGTAAAGATTTTCTTATTTTGTTGTAATTAAAAAACGAATGACTGTAAATACTTGAAAATTTCACTGAATATTTATATTAGCATTTTCTAAACACGATAAAATGTTGAAAATAATTTGACTCTTTTTGAGCTGTGTACGGACATTATCAGTTTTTAATTTTTTTAGTTTTTTTTTTCTATAAATATCAATAAAATTTTATTTGTTGGGTAAAAAAGCGTGAAAATTTAATACAAGGCTCCTGATATATTGTTACAATAGTAGTTGAAAAATATTAAAAATACATAGACAATAATAATAATAATTGTCAAACAATAATTTATTGAATGTTTTTATGTTTAAAAATAGTGAAGTTGAATAAAAACTAATAAAATTGGAAAATGAAAATGTTCTTAAACAGTTCAAAACAAATAAAAATATTTTTTAAATTTTATCTTGTACAGAAAATTTGAATATAAACAACCAGTGAAAATTGCATGTATATATACGTTCATTTATTTTAAAGTTGCACCAAAAAATTCCCGTTTATCTTAATTTTTCTTTTGTTTTTCGCGTTGATTTTGAAAACTACTAAGAAGTTTTTACTTTTGACCCCCCAAAGTACCAACTAGATTCACTTTTCTATCAGAAAAGTTACTGTTGAAGAAAATCCAAGCATTTTTACTGTCCTAAAAGGTGATGACAGACACAAAAAAAAAATTTTAAACAAAACACACATCATTGTAAAATCAATACATTCATCGTTTCGCTCAGAATCTAATATAAAAATTAAAAATAAAAAAAATAAAAAAATAAAAAACACATCATTGTAATATCAATACATTCATCGTTCTAAACTCAGAATCTAAAATATGTATCAAAAAATTTTAAAAAAAAACAAATTTTGGAATAAGTCAATCACTCTTTATGATATGCAATAAGGTACTTACTTTCTTTCTTGTGGTACTGTATCCAAAAAAGTTAAAAATGGTGCTAAATGCCATTTTGAGGGTTTTGAAGAGGCACTTGCTCCAGTATTCATTTTTCTGGCCCGTTTATTTTTTAAATAGGCATCTTTAATATTTTTATACCTTCTCTTGCAGTCTTCATCTAGTACAACTGTACAAATAAATATTCATAACCGATTTCAAACAAGAGTTATTAAAATACTGTTTTATAATAAAAACATAAATTATAAAAAAAAATGATAAGGTACTTGCAACAAAATAACAAATGAAACTTAAATTTGTTTTAAGGTTAAACATAGAATGCATCTGTATAATTGGTAAGCAGATTAAAAAAAATTACATTTCGTAACCGTTAACAAATAAAATATTTATAACATACATTGTTGTCGGTTATTTAGTTATTAGTACCTACCTATTGTAATAACAGTATATTTTGATTCAAATAAATAAAAAATGAAATATATTTATTTATTAAATAATAATGACATGTATATAATATATTTTTTTTCAGATTTTTAGCTTCTGGAGAAACGTACCGTTCTTTATCTTTTGCTTTCCGTATATCACACAGCTATATTAGTATTATAATACAAAATACCTTAAAATCTATGAAAAAGCATCTGTTACCACTTTGTATACCTAATCCGAGTAAATTAAATATAAAAGATAAAGCCCAAGAGTTTTGGACAAGATGGAATTTCCCAAATTGTATTGGCGCAATCGACGGTAAACATATTCGAATGAAGTGCCCAAAAAATACCGGTTCATAATACTTTAACTACAAAGAACATTTTTCCCTCGTCTTATTAGCACTAGTAGATGCGAATTGTAAATTTTTAGTCATTGATGTTGGAACCTATGGCAAAGAAGAAGATAGTGGCATATTTGGAAAATCAAAAATGGGACAGCAAATTTATTCTGGAGATTTTAATTTTCCAGGCGATGAAAAACTACCAGGCACTAATAATTCTACACCATTTGTTATTGTTGGCGATGAAGCATTCAGACTTCACAAGCATATCATGAAACCATATTCTAGATCTACAGCTAAACAAGACAGAGCAAAAACTATTTTTAATTACAGGTTGAGTCGTTGTCGTAGAGTGACGGAAAATGCATTTGGCTTATTAGCACAAGTTTTTAGAATATTTCATACTGCAATAGGAATTGATGTAGAAGTATGTGACGATCTAGTAACTGTCGCATGACTCGCATGTTGTTTGCACAATATGTTGAGAGATGCGTTTTTGGAAAAAGGTAATAAAATTGTTTATGAATATGACGAAGGACAGACTACTGAGATGGGCACTTTATGTAGTAGAGGTGGCTTTGCGAGTGCAGATGGTTTTGATGTGAGGGAAAAATTTAAACAATTTTTTATTCAAGAAGGAACAGTCTCGTGGCAAAATTATCAAGTTTCCAGAATATCATCTACCAATACTTAAATATTATACTTGTAATTTGTTTTTTAAAATAAATAAATAATTAGTTTTAACTGCTGCTAAGTATAGCCGTATAGGTTGATATTTATAATATTAAATATAAGTGACGGTCTCACACAAAAATTCTAACATTTTACAATTATTTGGTTTTTTTTAAATAATTCATAATACAAAATATATATCATGGAGATTAAAATTAGTTTTGATATTTTAAACACGATAAAAATAAATGTCCAGAAATTATAATTTATTTTTAGCTTAACGTATACAGAAGTACACAGTCCCTACGCGTGCGTGTGTATTCATAACTTCTAAAATAGGTACCTACTCATTCATAAATAGACAGTGTCAAGGTATTTACTTGAAAATAATCATTTATTTTAAACTTGAACGATCTGTTGTACACGTCTTTTTCTACTCATAATCAGTTGCGTCATTTCAGTTTTTATTAGACTAGGGCAATTTTTCACTGCTTTTCCGACTCAACATTTTGTTCACTCAGATTCTCATAGCATAGTGCCATAGTGGTAAACGGGGGGGGGGGGGCGTGTGCTAAATGTGCCGACTTAAGGTTGATGTAAATACTAGACTGGGGCAAATGCCCCAGTTGCCCTCCCCTAAATGACGCTACTGCTCATAATATTATAATAATGATATTCAAATTAAATATACTATAATCTCAATGCATTATTTGAAAAAATTATTTATACCATTATAATATATTTTTATTCGTACGAATCTAATATTTTTTACAAACAATATTTATAATATTTTGCTTACCACTTCGCCCAACGTTGCCACTTATATCCTTCCAAATTGCATCTCGTATATTCAAATCTTTATAATCCCTATTTTCGGGATTATAAATTGGGGGATGTTTGGCTACACATTCAACCAATATCTCGTCTTGCTCCTTATTGAACTTGACCATTGCAGAACTCATGTTTGAACAACCGATGTCAACGAGTGTTCAAACATAAATGAAAATATTGCATGATTGAATTATTAATAATTATTATCAAAACAACAAGCCGATCGAACAAATTGCGATCGCCGACCGCGGTCGCCCAAGGAAAACCGACTATATTTGATTTACATTGTATCAGCAGCCACGCGATCAGGGTACGCGATCGCGCAAGGGAAACCGTACCTTATACACAACCAGTCACCAGACCTATACCTAATTGCATTTAATAATAATTCTCAATCCAATGATTTCCGCATAATAACCAATAAACATATATATTTTTGTTATTTAGTCTTTATTTTAATACGTATTATCTATTATCTAATACAATAGTATTTACACGTAATTTAATAATAATTACATGAATTCTATTACAAAGTGTGTAACATAAAATTAACAAAATTTTAAAAAACTGTATTATTACCTAGTAGCTAAGGTTGAATTAAATTTTTTCTTTACATAATAATATTGCTTATGAAATTTAAACATAAACTTTTTATTGATTAAAATATTTAATAAATTTGATCAAACTTGATTGTTATTGGTTATTAAATACTATCTATATCTACTAAGCAAGTTGTTACATAATTTTTTCTCAATAATTAGCTTAATACAGAATATGACACCATATAATTATCAATTTATTTCTTATATTGAAACATATTAATTGTATTAGTAACTAGATTGAATTTTAGGTTTTACAAATATTATTATTTATTTTAATGTTTTACGTACTTATAGCAAGCACCATTATGATACTTGTAAGGATCTTGAATTTAAAAGCCGTTTTGGAAGGGTAACCAAATTGTCTCATTTCGCGTTCCATTAGTTCCCATTTTCCCATAACTTTTGGCCATTCCCTTGCCAAATTAATAAATAGAATGTAAATTACCAGTGAACTTCCGAAAAACATTATTTCTCCTATGAAATAAATAATATTTAATGTAAAATGTAAATCAAGACAATGTATTTCTACCAAAAATATAAAGCTGTAAGACAAAACCTGACCGGCATTCTCCTTGTTGTACAGTTATATAGGTAGGAGCTCATGTAATAAGAAATAACATATCCTATTATTATAGTATAGTCAAGGGGTACTGCATTTTATGGGGGTGACCAACTAATTTCTAAGGGGGTCCGTTTTGAAACTTTCCAAACAACTTCCCGTAGTCCAATATACTTTAATGTAATGATTTTTTTTTTAACATTAACAATAATTAATACTTATAGTTTGTACTTATGTATCAGTCAACCTTTAGGAATTTTATTTTTTAAACATTTAATTTTTCTCACAATACCTATTGGAACATATTTTTATTCATCATTATTCATTATATTATAAAAATTTAAAAACTATATTGATACAATTACGTGATCATTGGGGCAACAACAGCGGTACTAGCGGTACTTATCCACCTTTTTAAAAATTAATTTTACCGTTTTATAGAAACTTACTATTATTTTACTATCGTTTGTAGAAGTTAACACTATGTTTTGTAGGAGTCAACACTATCTTTTGTAGGAGTCAACACTATTTTTTGTAGGAGTTCACATTATGTCTATGTAGGAGATTACCCACATCTGTAGTATAGTTTACCACTCCCCTAAAAATGTGCCCGCAGTGGCGCTGACTGGCAGTTGGTGACCCCTGGGCCCTGGTATAATTGGAGGTACCTGGTACCTATATAAACAAGTTATTAGGTGCAATATTATAATCCTACAGGTGATATATTTATTTTCATTTTTAACCTTAAATTAATTATCTGACCTCATGGCTCATATACATACGTCATACACGATGATCCATTTAATAATATATACTCGATATTTTAAAATGTTGACGTTTTTGAGAATATTTTTTACATAATTTAATATTATGTTTTATGATGTCATTCCCAAACAAAATTGTTGACAAAATAGATACTTTTACAATTTTTATCATAATAATTTTAAAGTTTTACTTTTTTGAATGACAACATACATTTTTATTTCATATTCCTAGGAAGAATATTTATTGAAGTACCTACATTGTACATCGACACATAAAAATCTAATTTCGAACAAGAAGTTCATTAGGTTTAACTGTTTAAGTATTTAGGCGTAACGCGTAAGTATGGTGTACAAACATTTTCGAGGTGCTCTTTTACCACAGGTGCATCTTTTAAATTTAAATAATTTTTAGAATACAATTTTCAGCACACTATAGGTACTGTATAATATTCACCATCTAAACCGCATGGCTCACATAACCCTAAATCTAGGTCACTAAAACTGTATGATGAGTGGTGGTCGATAAATATTGAAGGTTGGTTACCGCGGGTTACTGAATTATATAAATTATTAATTAACCACTTCATGTACCTAGTTAAATGGTTTTTAATAGTAAATATTGAATCCCGTCCACGTGAATTGTAAGTCCAAAAACTGGAGAATTTCTGATTTCAAGAACATTGTAAATGTTTTGATTTATAAGATTAGAATGAATTAGATTAGATTGGTCATAAATTTAAGTAAAAAAATACATTTACCAGTTACACATTAGGTACGCAGTGAAATAAAATTATTTATTTAAAACAGATTGTTATTTTTAATTAAAAATAACTAGGATGGCGGACCTAATAAATACATTAATTATAGGTACATTTAAAATTATTACTTAAAATTATTATTGAAATAGGTATTAAAAAACCATAGTATCACCACTGGATTAATGAACAGTAAAATCATATACAATAATATAACCTAAACGAGTACCTACCTACATGACTATAGGCGCCACTCAGAATTTAAAATTCGCAAAGAATATATTATTAGAATTTATATTATTGTTTTAATTTGTATGTCGAAAATACTAATTATTATTAACTATAATACATAGTTGGCCCGAGATCTGGTGCTATATCTGGCATTGTACTTATATGTGGATCGATAGGTATCCAGAGGATTGTATAAATTTAAAGAATTTAAATTAAGTTACTATTTTAAAATATAACACAATATAATATAGGTAATTAAATATTTATTAATTTAAATTCAATAAACTGATTTTTTTTTCGGAAACATAATCTTTACCCGTGCTGTAATACGTCAGTCCAGTCATATATATTTTGATGAGTGAAAATGAAAGAATTAGGAGAGAAGCAGCAATTACAATGAAGACATAAATAACTGGCCAACTGAACCAATTGAATCTAAAAAAAAAAAACAAAAAATGAAAATTTGAAAAATTATTAATTAGCTCAAAAAAAAAAACAGGGAAGTTGCTTTGCTATTACTAGGGTTCGGGACTTATTGCACACAAATTATAGGAAATATGCATGCACATATGCACTTAAAATAACCGAAATATGCACAAAAATATGCAATTGAATATTTTTTTTTAAATTAAAAAATTTGATTTATTCATTTAAATTTAGACCTTCTTTTGTAATTAGTCATTTTTTGACTACAATAACACTATCAACATTATATTACTGAAGTGTATGTTCGATTTCATTTTCTTCGTCTTCTCCTACAATAAAAAAAAGGTTGGGTTTTTCTTTAATAATAATTTAATATAAAAACGATGAATTGTTTACCTATAAAGTTTGACTGTACAATTAGACATTAGAAAAGAGATATTGAACAACGCATGAAAATAAAAAAAAATAAAGTTAACCTTTAAAATAAATGTACTTAACGTAAAACAAAAACTGCGTAAATATGCTGTAAATAACAATTAAACTGCCAAAATTTGTCAAATATGCATTTTGCTCAGAAAACGACAAAATATGCAAAAATATGCAATTAAAATTTTTGTATTTCAATCCGTTATGACTTAAAACAAATTTAAATCTTACTTGGACTATTATGCAGTCATTATTAAGCAATATGCAAATGCAACAAGTCCCGAACCCTAGCTATTACTAATAAGTAATAACTTATTAGGTTTTGGGTGTACATCACTGTAATATATTATGTTTTAATTTGAATTCAACAATATGTAAATCATTGCATAGGTATTCCAATATTTGCCTACAAAAAATGATTTTAAGCGGAGGCTGGAGATATTTAATGAAGGAATAATGGGGTGAGCATGTTTAGTGAACCACCCTGTATACCTACTAGCAATTAAAATTGAATAACTAGGTAAGTGTCTACACGGGTTTACTCACTCTAAATAACTAGTGTTTTTCCCTCGAATACCTTGAACTGGTAAAAGAGCGCAAATTTGTGCCAGAATTAGTACTGGAGTGATGGCTCTGTGCAATGAATTTTTGTCGCTAATTATATTCATTCGTATATCGTCTTCCAAGGCTTTAATTCTCACGTAGTTAACCGGCATGCCAAGATCGTCTTGTATTTCAAGTTCTGTGACAAAATAGAAACACTATTATGTTTCAAACATTTGTGTTTAAGTCCATAAAACAATAGTTACAATAAGACATCTTCCCACATATTATATAAGGTCATATATTTGTACACAATTTAAAAAAACTGTATTTTTTGTTTTAAAGTGTTTTTTTCTCATTAAAACAATGTTTTAAACAAAATAAATTGTTTGGGCTGTAAACAGTACATATATTTAGAATAACTTAATTTTAATTTAATATGTAATTTACTTATAGGTATGCCAATATGCTGTGTACTAGTATATGTTTCACTACTTATTTTAAATCTTAAAAGCATTTAAATGTATTTTAAATATTTCTGAATGGATGTTTTATGTGGACACTGGACATTATACTATGTATATATTATTAACTATTACCTAGTTAAAAACATTTTAAATGGTAATTTATTCAATAGTATAAAAAAAAAATTAAAACGAAGGATGGTAATAGATATAATTATTTAATATTTTAACTTTTTTTCCGATGGATATCTATTATTATTTATTATTAATAATAAATCAAAAAAAATACAATATTCACTAAGATTTTACACTGTTTTAAACATATGTTTTATTCGTTTTAAACAATGAGACAAATGTTCCT